CGGGGGGCGGCGGGGAGCGGGGCTGGCGGCGCGGAGGCGGCCCGCCGGGGCGCAGCGGCAACCTGGCGCCCGCCGGGCGTGTGGCCCGCCTCCCGACTCGTCAGCCCGGCTCCGGCGTGGCGCGTCTCCGTCCAGTGGCCCCTTCGCTCGTTCTAACGCCATGTTTTCTTTTCCGGGGGTGCTGTCCATGTTCTCCCCTCTGACCTGGCAGAGACGGGTTGATCTGAGACGTGCGGGCACCGGGTCAACTCCATTGCAAAGAGATTTGAACCCGTGTCTTCCTGCTCCTCCTCCTCGTCTTTTGTCCTATCTGCTACGCCTTGTGGGTGCGAACAGTCGCTCGTGATGGCTCTACCGCCCATTTTTATTTTTAAAAAATGCCTACATGGGAAGGTCCTGCATGATTTACTGCATATTGTTTGTCAGCCGTCTTGGAAAAGGTTGCTGCTGAATTCAGGCAGAATTTAAAGCCATCCTTGCCCAAATTAGACCTATTCCTGTATCAGTTTGAAACGCGCACACATTGTTTTACAGGCATCTCTGGGAAGGCCTGAACTATGGTAGGCAGTGCCAATTAGCATTCCGAACCTGTGGGGCAAATATCTTCTAGACAGGTGTGTGATCGTCTGTGTATTCACAAGAGGTATATCTGCTGAGGATCTTTTAACTTTTGCAATATGGCAAAAAGGGGAACCCAAAAGGATGTTTCCTCAGATAATGGGCAGTGTTTATTTAATACAACTCAGAAATTAAACTAAGAATTTTAACTGGGAACGCACATTAGCATAGCGGGGATAGGACACGTGGGTAGAGCAATTGCAATGCATGTATTTTGTGGTTATGCGCTATCAAACTGTCTTTGACTTATGGTGACCCGATGAATGAATGCATGAATGAATGCCCTACAGAATGTCCTGTTCTTGACAGCTCTCTTGTGAATTCAAGTTTGGTTTGCTTTATGGAATTGCTCCATCTCATATTTGGTCTTCCCCTTCTTTTTCTGCCCCCAATTTTCCTTGCTGTGACTGTCTTCTCCAGCAATTGTTGCCTTTTCCGGAGGTACCCAAAGTACAGGAGCCTCAGTTTCCCCATCTTTGCTTCCCAGGGAAAGTTCTGGCTTGCTTTCTGCCATGACCCAGTTGTTTGCCCTTCTGCTGCTAAAGGGTATTATTTTATTTTTGTTTGTTACATTTATATACTGCCCCCTAGCCAGAAAGGCTCTCTAGGCAGTCAAAACATATAAGCAAAGATACAAATAACAGTATCACAATAAAAACAGTGACAACAACCAGTAACCAACAATAATACAAACAACTAGTCAAATTGTTGCAATGGTACAACAGCAGCATCTAATGAAACCCTATTAAAACTACAATTTTAATTGTTAAAATAAATGCCTGGAAAATAAAAATGTTCTCACCTGGTACAAATCTCTCCTCCACCACTGTATTTTCAATGTTTCTGTTTTCTTCTTGTCAGCCTCTTCCCTTTCCAGCTTTCACACCTGTACATTGTGGTTGGGAGTATAATAGTATGGATGATCTTGGCCTCGATCTGCAGTGAAACATCCTTACCTTTGGTTATCTTTTCTGGTCCCTTCACTGCCACCCTCCCAAATTTCTTCCCTGGAGGGTCCATTTGAATTGACTGTTGAGCCAAGATATGCATACTCCACTGGGGCTTATCTGGCACCTGTCATCTTGTTGGCATAAGTCGCAGGCATTTAATGGGCTATGCCAACTGTTTTAACAGGTCTAGTTTGTACTGATTTTTTTTTTTTTAGGTGTTTAAATGTTTTACATTTTGAATACCGGAATTTTATCATACTATTTTATTGTATCTTAAGTAAATGGTTGCAAACTGCCCAGAGAATTTCACATTTGGGGCAGTATAGAAATAGAAGTAATAATAGTAGTAATTTACAAAGGTATTTCGGTACTTGTTTAAAATAATGATCTGTTTTTATCTTTTAAAAACTAGATATGTAAGGAAAAATGACTGCTGGCTCCATTTTAGCGCCTCAAGTTATACCACTTCGAGCCTCAATCCCGGGCAAAGCTAAACACGAAATAGACACAAACACACTTGTTGCAATCAAATCAGGTATATGCAACACCTTGAAATGCATGGTTTCTCCCCTTGTGTGCAACCTTTTAATGCACTGTTGATCTTTTCATTTCATTGTCTGCATTAATACACAACTCTATCCTGCAAATCTGTTTGAGTCTTAGCAAGACATGCTTTGAAAAAGAACTGAAGTAATAGGAAAGGCTTGCCTGGGCACATTTACCCATCGCTCTCAGCTTACAAAACTCTGAGTTTTTCTACATTCATTCTCAGGACTTCATCTCTTTCTCTGTTGCCTATAGACATTTGTATTATACTGTGATTAGGTATGTTGAGCTATCTGTGGTCATACCTACTTTCTTTGTGTTGCAGTAGACGTGCTTGTGTAATGAGGCTGAGCTTTTGGCATGGGTGGTAAATGTCGGTACAATTGTATTTTGATTTGATCTGCTTATAGACATGTTCCTAATTCCCCTGCCTAAAGTTTCTTCAGTGCGCCCCTGGGCACAAGTCGCAGCACCCACGAACCCCCCACTGCCCTGTCATACCTTGCCCAGAGTTGGAAGGGGCCAGGAAGGCCACCAGGTCCCACCCTTGCAGGTGCAGACCACCAGGTGTAAGTTGTCCGCTGTCGCTTGCTTTCTCCTAAATTTCAGCTTTTAAAATACTAGTAAGACTGTTTTCTCACCTATTTATCCCTGTTTCTGTTGGTTTTATGTTTTGCTAGGCTGAGTGCAGTGCTAAAATATTGTGTTGTTTTCATAACTGCTTGGAATCTATAAAGATCACTGTATTCAGGAGTTTCAAGGAGTGATCAACCATGTTGCTGTGAAGCGCTGTCACACCATCTCTGGCTTATGGCAACCCTGTGCGCGAAAGTCCTCCATTGTTTCCTGTCCTTGATGGTTCTGTTCAGTTCTGCTAAGCTCAAGGCTGTGACTTACTTTATGCAATCAACCCATCTCATAGTTGGTCCTCCTCTCCTCCTCCGGTCTGACTTTCCGTAGCAGGATAGTCTTCCCCAGGGAGTCTTGCCTTCTCATGATACGCCCAAAGTATGACAGACAGCTTCTGTTTTGCCATTTTTGCTTTTGAAGGCCCGGGCTTTCCTTGATCTAGGACCCACTTGTTATCTTTCTGTCAGTCCAGTCCAGGGTATCCCCAAATCGCACCTGCAACCCCATTTTTTGAACACATCAGTTTCCTTCCCATCAGCTTTCTTCACTGTGCGGCTTTCACACCCACACAATAGCATGGATGATCTTGGCCTGGGCCTCCAGTGAAACACCCTTTCACTTCCCTCACTGCCAGCCTTCTAAGCCTCGGTCAGCTTGAATTTCTTGGCTGCAGCCTCCCGTTGAATCGATGACTGAGCCAAGGGACGCCAAGTCGGCACGACTGCACTCCAAGTACGGTGATGCCCAAGCACTGCATCACGTTGCAGTTTCCGGTGCGTCTGGATTCACGCTTCTTGCATTTCACGTTCTAACTCCGTGTGTTGCGCAGCGTTGGACTCTGTGCGCATCAGCCCACTCGGCTCCGTTTTGGGTTGCTGCTTGTGTCTGTGCTCATATTCAGCCATTGCACTCTTCCCTGCATGCTTGCAGCCATCCCGAGATGTCATACATAAAGGACAGCCTATAAACGTTTTCAAATAAATAAATAAGTAAGTAAGTAAGTAAGTAAGTAAGTAAGTAAGTAAGTAAGATCTTGGTCACACCTTGCCTGAAGAAGTTTTGTAGATCTTGAAAGCCTGCCCACCTGGGTGTCTTGAAGCTCATACACAGGTATGGGGTGTCTTAAAGTTAATATATTCATACGGATTTTGGAATGTTGCTGACGCCCACTTGTCTGCTTTTGCCTGTTGTGTTCCTTATTACTGTGTCTTTCAGATAGCTCTGCTGTCACCATATATTACACTCTTGATGGAAGCAAACCACAGCTCTTTAGGAAATTTGGTTCCAGAGATCATACTACTTTTAAATATCAGGAACCGATCACGTTACCAGATGGGAAAATAACAATAAAAGCACTGGCAGTCACAAAGTAAGTGTCGTCACCGTGCCATCCGTCTTTTGGACAAGGGCAGAGCTTGCCGCAGAAGTGAACTGTTCCTTCGCACGACCCCTTTTGCTGGAAAGGGAGCAGCGCAGGCAGTTCACTTTTATGGGTGTCCCCTTTGATAGGCTACCTGTTCCTTTGCTGCAGAGAAAACAAAGAGCCGTTTAGCGCCCGGGGGCTAGCGGCTGCCACAGTGCGTGCTTGTTTTCAAGGGTCCACAAGGGGCCTTCCTCCCTTGCTGTAACGGTTGTGCAAATTGTGCAAGGTAACCGTGCAGCTAGCGCAGAAACACAGCTGCTGGAAACACAAGGCCTACGGCTCCCTGGCAGCTTTCTTCAGATGCCAGGTGCACGTGCGGCCACTGCGCTCTGCTTCTTCACATCCTGCTCTGCAGAATCGCCTGCCTGCTGAGGTGGCTTTACACGGGGGGAGGAGAGCGCTGACAGCAGCTCTCCCCTATGACCCTGATTCTGCCTCCAAGCACCACGCAGTTGTCCTTTATTTCAGAAGCGCCGCTTTCTGCTTCCCTGTATTCTCCCCTCTGCACCTACGTCCCTGTGGCGCTGCAGAAATAAAGATACGTTGTACCACAGGGGTGCGGCTCTTGTGGGGAGGGCTGGCTGTGGGGCTGGGTGGAGAGGGGCAAGGGTTAGTGCTGGCGGAGGCTGCTCACCATACGCCCGGCACAGAGGGGGGTGCCTGGGTGGGCCTCCGCAGAGCGTGATGGTGTGGGCAGGGGGGGCAGGAAGACTTCTGCAGCCAGGGGGAGGACCAGACGAGGCTGGTGGGGCTGTGGCAGGGGGCAGGGATGGGCCCCGCCTGCCCCTGTTGATGCCCTCCGCTTGCTTGGCCACAGCTGGGAGGCAGCCCCTTCCGGCGTGTGTGAGGTGTCTGCAGAGGGGCGTGTGAACACATCTGCAGCAGGGGAGGGATGGGAAGGGGGAGCAGCGTGGGTGGGCAGCTGTGCGGGTTGGCCCAGAGCACAGCAGCACGGGAGGGACGGGACACCGTCTGCCTTTGGGAGGAACGATGGAGGAGGATGGAAGTCGCTCGAGCGTCTCTTCAATTACAGAGACGGCCGGGAAAGTGCAATCGTAACCCGAGTATTCGTGGTAGAATATGTGACTCCGAACACAGATGGATCTCACGAGGATAATGCTGAGGAGTCCCTGAACGTTCTCTGCAGGCAGGCCAGTTACAAACACTTGTGGCATCTTCTGCAAATCGTTATGATTGTTTTTGCCGCAATTGTTGTTGTTGTTTTTATATGAATGTCTCACAAAAGCGGATTTCGGAAGCTTCATTTGTTTTTACTGTGGAGATCCACTAAGTTTGTTTTGGGAAAATGTTGGGACTCTTTGAACAGAGTCACTAAGGTAATGCTGGCAAGCCATTGAACTAGGTTATGAGTTTAAGGGTTGGACCAAACTGCTTGCGTTTCTGCCGAAAAGTTACACACAACTTATAAACCAGTAGCCATGTGCAGCAGCCTACCAGTGGCTCAACGAGCTTTATTTAGAGCAGAAAAATAAATGCTGGGACATCCAATGTAATATGAAATACTTCTAAAAGGGGTACCTGATTGTTCAGGTTTCCAGCTAATCTGTAGGTCGTACAGTAATGCCCATTAATGTTAAAATTTTGACGAATTTAGGTGATATCCAGAGGTGTGAGGGCAAGATGGTGGGGGGGTATTGCTTTCTATCGGTATTATTCTGAGCAGGAGATGTGGCAGGCCAGGAGGCTTCTGAGTAGACTGCTGCGTGCAACAGCGGCTGGCTAAACAGTGCACTCCCACGCAGGTGTGCGCACATGCGCATCGCATAGCTTCCCCGTTGCTAGTGCCCCCTGGTTCTGACAGCGAAGCCTGTAAGGGAAGCTTACGAGGGACTCCTCTGGGTGGCTGGTGCAGTGCAGCCTTCACAATCTTTGATCACAATATGTGATTAAAGGCCAGAATCTTTTTGTCCGTAGGAGATGGGAAATGAGCTGTCGGACTTAAGGCTTGGAGAGAAGGAAGTGAATGTGGAAAGCAATTTCAGCTGCAGTGGAGTTGTGCGAGAATTTCAAGGTACTTCATGTTAAACCAGGAGCTGAAGGAGCTCTGACTAGGTTGGGGATTAACAGGATTCTGGCTGGCAGGGACATACTGTCAGAAACTCAGACGGGCACTGTTTGCTGTGGTTTCTTCGTTGAATTAAATTACAAACGTTACACCTTCTTGATGCCATTGCCCCCTGAGCATATTCTGTGCTGTACCGTGCCAATCAACTCAGCATTCACCATGCTAGAAAGGAGGAGCAGGGCCTGTGTCATAAACTTCATGCTCTGGTTCAGGTGGAAAACCGCTTTGAGCTGGCCCTTCCAAGTGCAGACATCCTGCTTCCGATCTGTTCTGTGCCCACTTAAACATATGTTGAATTACCATTGCTGGCACTTTGCTGCTGTGCAAGCATGCTGCAGGCCTGGGGAAGCTCCGTTGTGTGTTCCTGCAGTTACAAAGTTTCAGAATGCCCATTTTAATTAAGGGTCCAGGCTCATTGCCCGGCTGATACTTCCCAGATGGCGCCTGTTCCCCAAATGGTTATAAAGTGAGCAGCTGCAGCTGTGGAAGACAGGTGGGGGAACATCTGTGACAGGTTGCTGCACACCTCCTGCTGCATACTTGTTTGTGCGTGTGACAGAAAGAAACTGCTACGTTTTAACTGGGCCTTCTGTCCTTGGGCTCATTTCGCCTTCTGATGACCCACTGAGCTGCTGTTTGAAGATTTTTGCCATATTCTCGTGATCTGTTGGAGGAGCATTGTAAGCCATCCTGCCTGCGTGTCAGAACCCCTTCCTTTAGGGACCCTGGGGATGAGAGCAGGCATGTGTCATACCGTTTGATAGCTACAGTCATTTGGACGTATTTGGGTGCCCATGAATTTGGTTCCTCTCATAAACCTTTTTTTAAAATCCTAGAATAGTCTTAAAACTAGAAGCATATCATGTGTTACATCATCTTAGTTGAATTTCACTTTTTAAGTATGTCGTAGAAATGTAAGATAACGACAAGCATAATTCTTAGGTTTATCCCAAGGAAAAAGTTATCTGTGCTCACTGCTCAGTGGACCACGTTTGTTGAACGCCTCGGATGTTAAAGAGGAGTCTAACGCTGCCACTTTGCCTCAGTTACAGGTAAGCCAAGCGGCTCGCTTGTTCAGGTGTCGTGGCAATAGGTTTACATTTACATTCATGTCATAAAGATGCAGTGCCAAGGGACTGAAGATTTAGCTTCTTTCACATTTGCCCCAGCCAGGAATTAGCATTAATGTGTGCGTGCAGTCGTCCTGCTGAAAGGCCCTTTCCCAATGCCATATGAACAAGTAAACAGGAGCAGAGTGTTTGTAAGGCTAGTTAGCCCTCCGCTCAGGGCTTGCCCTCTCCCCCTTCACCAGCCTCATCGGTCGCCTGCCGTGGAATCAATCCTCTTGAGTGCTCTTTGCCTTCCATGCACACAAGCAGCGGAGCAGCCCAGCTTGGGGGCACCGGCTGATGGCTTCACTCAAAATTGACAGATGTGTCAGGGAGCATATGCTTCTGCAAATATTGCAGAAGGCACGACGGTCCCTTTTAGTGCTAAATCTGGTAGCTTTTGCCATTTTGGCTTTTTTAACAATGGCACATTGGTAGCCTTTTTGACTGTAGAAGAAATGTTACAAACGCATGGACCATCTTGCAAATGGCTCAGAGACCAAAGAATCCAGGTGGCGTTGTCCCTCATCAAAAGGAGAGGATTCTCCATTCCTGTCAACTGGCTGCTCCATCCAGGACCTGTTTGCTACTCCTTCAACACCACGTGCCTTCAGTTTCCCCTTTTCTTCTGTTTCCAACAAAAATGTGTATCTTGCAAACCCCTCCCCACCACAGTTTTATATTTTGCAACTTGAATCCATAAGCAAACAAGTTCTGGACACAAGCACTGATTAGTTTTCTGTGTACAGTCTTGTGGCTAAAAATGTGAATGGGAGCCCCTCATTCAAAGCTTACTTATGAACTTGCTGTGCTGCTTTAGCTAAGCCCTCTCTGTCAGTCTTAGCCCATCCTCTGCAAGTAGCCATTTAATGTGACGTTTTACATAATGCACCAAGACCCCTGGAAAGCCTGTGCATGAACACCTGAGCTGTTAGATGTTGGAAGACAACTGCGTTTCATCAGAAAATACCTAAGTTTTGTTCAGGAATGTACTGATGGAATTTTTGTGTATTTCCCACCCATGGTAGAATCTTTATCTATAATTTGAGCTGTCCCATTTGCAGGCCTGGGAGCAAGCAGACGTTTCGTTGCCAACGCCAACCCCCAATTTAGCAGAGAAAAAACAACAAGGAACCCAAACCATTGGCTTGTTCTATCCATCTAGCAAGCTTCTAGAGCAACAAAGTCATCGGTTGGCTTCTCAAAAGAAGCAACAGAATAAGATCAGCCATCCCAAGGTCACAGCCATCAGTCCCGGACAAGGTAAAAATAAATGCAGATGGTTTCTCCGTTTCAAAGTAAGTTTGCCATAAAACAGTCCTTGGATTTGCTCTTTATTTATTACTCTAAATGATGTACTAAATAATGCCTTCCCTTGGAGCCAAGGTTGCCTCGCTGGGCGTAGGGAGGATTGCCATTGTTTTGGTGGGATTTGGGGGACTTGCAGTGTGCCTCACTGTGGAGGAAATGGGGACAGCTGCCGATGTCATCCTGGGCAGAGGGTGTTACGGTGTTGGGAGGCGGTGACACTGGGCAAGGGATGGCAACCGAGGCCCCTGCGCCTCACCTTCTACTCTGCCTTCCAGCCTCGGTAATCCTGGTTTGCCTGCAAACCCTTCTAGGGTGGAGCTGCTACTGCTGGGCACCAGGTCAGCGGATGGGAAAGGTGGCACCATCTCTGGCTGGACAGTGGGCATGCTGACCTGGCCTGTTGCTGAAACCTGGCCAGGTGAAGTGGGAGTGTTCGCCTTGCCCAGATTTGTCCACAGAGGTTCTTGTCAAGGGCCAGCCTTGGTTGGAGGGACAGAGGAGGCATAGAACCTTGGTCTGCAGAACGGTTCCATCCCCCTAGTAAGGTTCCCCATCCCACAGCCAGGAGCTTTGAAGGTCTGTACCCAAGACAGGTTTGGGACTCTGTTGCTGCACCTCCTTCCCGGTGCCAAGTGGAACCGAGGGCGCTTCTGGCAGAGTCTCTATGCTAACGGAGCAAGGCAAGCTGGGTGCATGTTACCTTTCAACCAGGTTGGGCAAGGAGGTGACACTGTGGCTGGGGAGGAAGTTTTCAGTCTGTTTTGGCCATGGCTAGCTCATGCCTCCCTCACGAGATAAAGCCAGGTTTGTGGTGGCAGAAGCAGCTGAGGGATCAGAACTGGAGCCCTGAAGGATAAGTTATGGTATCTTCTGGAAGGACTTTTCTTCGTACCTCCATACTGCAAATGGTTGGCTAAGATTTATGCGGCAGTAGCTCGTTTCAGGCCTCCCTGTAGTGGCAAAGGCAAGTTGAATCGTGCCGCTTCCTGGTCGATAGGCAGCTTCCCTTGGCTACCGTCGTGTACTAGCTCTCCAGTGGTCTTGATGTGAGCTTTTCACCCAGCTGGATTTCCTCTTCGCAGGTTACTGGAGGCAGCAGCTGGCTCATATTTGTGCTCACCTCAGAAGCTATGCACAGAATAACCTGGAATTCAGGAGTGTGGTGGGAGAACCTCAGCTGGGGAGGGTAAGAGCAGCCTTGCCCTGATCCGGGGACCTTTTAATGGACTAACCTTTCTTCCTCCTGTGATGCTGATGCATAAAGACAGAGGGAACTAGTGCTGACATTTAACAGGAAAGGCGGGAAGACCCTTGACTTTTTGAAGAGCCAGTGTGCTTTGGTGCTTAGAGTACTGGACTGGGCACCCGGGGGACCCGAGCCCAAGTCCCCACTGTGGCATGAATCGTGCTGGGTGACTCCGGGCCACTCCAACGCCGCTCAACCCTACCTCACAGGTCACGGGGTTGTTGCTGTGAGGATAAAACGGAGCTGTGTGAACTGCCTTTTTTCCATGCAGGAGTGGAAAAAGTAGGGTATACATGCGATGTCACAATAACAACAGGTGCTTCTTGAGAATCGGGGACATGATTAGGATTTCTGCGATTGCACCTTTTCAATGATGGGGTAAATGAAGTTAGCATAAGGATAATCGTTCTTCTGCAGTGGAGAGAGAATGTCTCCTGTCATCTTTTTTGTTGCTCTTTGTAGCTGCATCAATACTGTTTGTCTTGTCAATGTATGAATTAGCTGGTCATGAAATGGTTGGGAAGCTGAAATGGCGGTGGCCTGTTAGACCACACACTCATCCTCACGAGGGACTGTGCCTGGCAAAGCATTTCCTTCAGGTGACCATTTGTACCTGATGTTTCTGAGTACCTGGTTCTTTGACAACGTCACAATCCTCCGCTTTTACTCCTGTGCCTAACCAGCACCTTCTGGCGAGTGTTTTTAAGATTAGGGAGAAAGTGGCATTTAAGGGCAACTTGGAAGAAAAAGCAGTTACCTTTTGTGGTTTTGCGTGATTCCTCTACACCACAGTGCTACACCATAAAAGGTCACAGCGGCCAGCCTATGCCAATAACCGGAGCCTTGGTTCCTTTCCGTGGGAATAGCCTCTTCCATTCCCAGGAACGAGTTCAGCTAAATAATGGAACCTCAAATCCAAGAAACAGGTAACACCTGAAAAAGTGAATTACAGATGTGCGGGTATATGCCTCCCGTGCCCACAGGCAAGCATATGGAAAGGACAAAACGAAAGGCCACCTGCAGGATCTTCTGTTGAATCTGAGCATTGCAGCGTCAGCAGAAAAGCTCCCTTAAGACAATCCCTCAGGTGAGCTTAGCCAGAGATCCCTCTCTAGGCCCTTTCCTATTACCCAGCCTGCCTTGGGGAGCATTCCTTGGGGCTGGGCGATGCCGCAGTCCCACTGTTCCCGCGAGCCCCATCCTTTTCTCTGTGCTCAGAAAAAGAGCTTGCCTCTCCTGTCTCAGCACTAGAGAAAGGCTGGCCACCTCTAGCACCGACAAGGCAGCTCCAGCCCTCACCTCTGGCCAGTGATGAGAAGAAAGGTGGCTTTTCTAGTACTGAACTAATCCCTTTGCATCCTGAGAGGAAGGCTCCCCGTTCCCTTCTCAGGGCTAAAGAAAGTGCTGACGATTGGGTGAGGCTGGGGAAGGAGAGCCCGTGGGCCCCTGCGCCCCGAGACAGAGTGGGACACGCTCCAGCCCTCTTTCCAACTCAGGGCTGTGGGAGGCCGTCATCCCAGCCCTCTTGCTGTGGTTCTGGGGTTGCGAAGAAGGCCTGGCCTCGCCTGTTCGTTCTGCTTTGGCCATTCAGCCCCTAAATGCCAAGCTGCTGATTAAGTTCGGGAGCCCCTCCCCACCACTGTATCATTTGGACCTCCACGAACGGAGGGATCTTGCCTGGAGAAGAGGTTCCTCCAAGGGGCAGGTTGTTGCCTTGCAGCTCTGACATGGTGGAGGAGGGAGGCCTTCGCCTCCCTGGGCCAAGACCCGCTCTTTCCGCTTTCTCGTTTTTTCTAGTGCTGCTTCATCTTTTGAATTCAGTTTTTAAATGTTTGTCAGAAAGTCCATTTCAGTATGTTAGTACCACTTTGAAAAATCTTTTTCTGAGTGCCTGTGTAAATTATCTGTTTAAACAGGCAACATAAATGAGAATAACCAACCATGCTAACTTGTTTTTTCTTTACAGCTTATTTCTGCTACAGTCCACAAGGATAGTAATCAAGTCAGTCTCCACATAAATTATGCTCTGGCTGAAAGTAAGGTGAGTATGGAAGCCTTGGCTGCTAAAGATGGGAAGGTTGTAGTACTTTGAGGGACAGGCTAACCTGAGGCTAAATAAATCTTTTATTTCAAAATACTGATTAAAAAAGCATGTTCGAGTTCTGGAAGGTTTGGATGTGCACCCTGGGGCATGCATCCACCTCAGGGGGGCACCGATGGGGCTGCCTGGCCTCCTCATGGTCTCGCTTGAACTACGCTAGTGCTCTGCACAAGTGATGCTACCGGGCGGGGGACGGCCAGCTTGGGGCTGCGTGCAAGGCGTGCGGGGCTTGGGCCGCACATACCGCTGGCGGTGGTGGCTGACATCTGTGGTGGCTCTCCCGAGTGTCCTTTATACTGCTATGCCAAGGGTCTTCATGTAATTAGGTGTCTGCTCTTCATGATTCTCCAGGAGAGTAAACCAGTGGCCTTCTGCTGTCCTGAGCGGAGCCCCAGTGGAGAAGTCGGAGCCGGACTGTATGACAGCCAAAGCGGTAAGGCAGGCTGCCTGCACAGTGTAGCCTAGCCGTGCTTTCCGTCCATAACGTGCAGAAGCCCACTCCCGACCCTTCGTTAATCAAGGGACAACACATCTGGACGGGCAGCTGAAATATTGCGCACCGCCCAGGTAGCTTTGGCCACGGGCAGAAATGTAGTTGTTGTAGTAGCAGTACCGCCACCACTGCCACCACACAGCTGTACAGATCGTCTTGCCAAATCACGGATCTAACTTAACGTTAAACGCGGTGCCCTGTTTTAGCAGGTGACGAGACAAGCCCCAGTGAGAAAGCCAGAAGAAGGATGAGCACATGGAAGTGTCTCGGCGAAGAAGACAAGCTGACGGTGGGCATATTTCTTTGCACTGCTGCATCATAACCAGTTGCTTTAAAAAATGAATCTCTTCTGGAAGGCTCTGTTTGGGAGGAGGAAAACACTGAAAATTGCAGCTCACAGCAAGAGGTTCCTGAAGGCAGCCACCCTGGTCAGGCCACCCCGCCCCCAGTCCAGAGGCTTCCCACCTGGAGCTTAAATGCAGTGCTCAGAGCCCTTACCAAGGCTTCGTTCAAGACTTTTTTTTGCAGCGGGGAGGGCGCATTATCAAGGGTTTAACTCTCAGAACAATATTCTTAGTCACCATTACCTCAGCTAGCAGGGTCTCAGAATTGGGAGCCTCTCCTCTGACAGGGACCTGCGTGTCTTTCACAAAGACAAGGTGGTCCTCTGTCCGGACCCCTCTCTCACTCCCAAGGTTAATTTGGCCGTCCACAGGCCCCAGCAGCTCACGCTCCCCTCCTTCTGCACACACCCTGCGTCCCCTACAGAAAATGCGTCGAGCTCACTGGACACCAGGCACGCGGTGAAGTCCTTCCTAGATGGGCCCTTACCTACCAACGCCTGCGGTCATGATCCATACATCTGGATGTGCACATGTTGTTAAAAGAGCCAGTGAAGTGGGCCTCGGCTCAGTTTTCACCACACAGTTCTTACCCTAGTCTGCAACCCTGCTGAGGAAGGTTAGTGCAGCTATGGCAAAATGAGCTGGTAGTCCCTTCCAAAACTGTACCTGTGATGAAGGTACACGGAGGTGCTATGCGTTCTTATTTATTAAACTCATTTTCATGGGAGTCAAGATTAGCCTGCTCATTAGCAGCATTTATCAGTATGTTCTGCAAGAACTAGGTAGCTTAAGCCACTGGATCATCGATCCGATCCAGCTTGGCCACTGCATCTGGCCCTCTGTCAGTTGCCTAGAAATTGCATTTAACAGACATGTGTAGGCAAGGAAGATAGCGCGTTTGCTTGTTCATGCTTAATGATACACTGGACCCAGGATCTACACTGATAGATGATATATTGGCTGTTTGTTTTCTGCATTGTCCTAGGCGGAGTCAAGGCAGTTACTGAGAGAAGTGGGTCCAGAAGGACAGGGACAGCCTTTCCTGGTGGAGCAGCTGATCGATGAGGTAAAGTTTCAAGAGCATTCCAACACGGTAATGAACAGATGGTTCTTTCTCTTAATATGCTTACCAAAGGAAAATCAAAACATCCAAAGGATGCACACTGCCGATGGTCAGGAGAGCCAGGGTCTGCCACGTCAGCAGGGCTTCCCGGCTGCGTAGGTGCCTTTACAGGTGTCATCCACAGCGCTGCGGGCCAGCCCCCAACAGATTCACCACCGCGACACACCATGGATGGTGCCTTTGTGGTTTAGGATAAGAGTTGCAGTAGAGAGCAAGCCCCACTGGCCTGGGGGTTTGCAGGGGAGGGCTCTGCTCCTCACTAGGCCACCCCAGAAATATGTGGGGCTTCTGCACAGTCAGGTACACAGAAAAATAGCTTGCAGGTTGAGCCAAGAATAGCCCAAAGAAGACTGCCTATCCTTGCCCTCCAAGATTCATGGAAAATTGAGATCAGTGCAGAAAAGAAAAACAAAAGGACCAACTGGAATTCAAGACCCAAACTTCCAGAACCTTTAAATACCCTTTTTATATGCTTGAATCAGGGTGAATTTGTCATTTGAGGAGGCCAGTTACAATCAAGCACTCCTTCCAGTTCTCATACATGGTGCAGGAAAGGGGAAGTAAATCATCGCCTGGCACCTGCGTATATGCAGCACTTCGATGTGGGGACCTCTGAAGGCCGTGTCCCTCGTGGCAACGGATCGTAGCTCGGCACGTGGCATGCAGGCTGCCTTCCGTTTGGCTCCTTGGATCGGATCCCCACTTAGAGCTGGAAAATATCCCTGTCTGACGGTGGAAGGACCCTGCCAGGCAGCGTCGCTGGCAGTCGGAGTCTGCAGAAGGCAGTGTCCTGCAGGCCTGTGAGGTGGACATTCATGCCGTAGAGGACCTTCCCACTGCAAATGGCCGCATCCTGTAGATCCATATTTTGTTCCGTGAATATTTTCACAGGCCATGTACATTTCTTTCTCTCTGCCCCTGCCTGGCCTCACTGTCTGAAGGGGAGCAGTGCATGCTGCTGGCCTGCTGGGCACGCAAGTGCCACTCCTCATGCTTAGATCTGGGGTCAACGGGACCGCCAGGTGGGCCAGGCAGACTTTCCTGCGGAATTTTTATCATTCACGTACCACTCAAATAATGTGCGGAGTGGATTAAAAGTGGGAAATACTGGGTTGCCTCTTCCCCACGCACTGCAGGGCGCGGACCCCAACTGCACCGACGGCGCTGGCCCACCCGCTTTAACGCTGGCTGTCCTCAACAAGCATCCGCAGGTCATTCCTGTTCTTGTGCAGAAAGGCGCGGACATTGATCGCCAGTCAGGAAGGTGCGTCAGCCGCTTTGTCCTTCCGATGAGAGTTGGTCTCGTACGGTTACTCGGAAAGGGGAGTTGTCGGCACGGGTTGGGGAGGGACACGCTCACTGCTGGCATCCGTGGCCCCATGCCGATGTGCAGGCGACCCACCCGTACCCTTTCCGTACGGCACCGAGTTTCCTCCCGCTCCCCTCACTGTTCTGAGTGCCGGTTTCATCACATGGGAATTGTGTTTAATGCTGTGAATCCGCACAAGGAAAAAACCAACATGCCAGTTGCGGCATGACCACGGAAGCGATTACCTGGGGAAGGTGTGGGCGGAGAGGTTCAAAAAGCATTGAGACAGCCACCTAAACGGGATGGTGAAACTTGGAGTCCTGCTTAGTGTTCATGTTTGCGCCCCTTATCTGCACACAGGCTCAAGAACACAGCCCTTCATGAAGCCCTCTCGCTCGGACTGGGCGGCTTGGGATGCATCGAAGCGCTGCTGAGGTACGGCCTTGGCCTGTAAGGGGCACTGCTGCTTCGGGGGGCGCTGTGTCCTTAGGAGGAGGGGTTCTGAGGCTAGATTCTCCTCTAGGGAGCCTGGCTTTTTCCTGCAATGAATGTTCTCTCTTCACAGATGTAATGCAAGCATTAAAAAGGAGAACGCCCATGGGCTGACGGCCTGTGACATGGCGCTGAAGAGTGGCAATGACCAAATCATGTCCTTGTTTGCTGGTAAGCTAGGATGACAAATTCACCCCACCCAAGCTGAGTCCTGCTAACGACTGATGGATAGTTTTTGTGAACAAAATCATGCTGAAACAATGTGTAAAATTGTGCACGCTGTCTTTTTGATTTAAATGGATTGTGAAGTTGTGGTGTGCTAAAGCCCGTACCTAACCGAACAGAGTTGCTTAGTGGGATTTGCTGTAGCAGGCAGAATATTCAAACAACGCAGTTCAGATACCACGAAAGACAAAGGCAGGTGGCTTACCTGTGAGTCATTCAGTGAGAGGTCATCTGTGCATTCACACAACCCACCCCCTGGCCCCATGTGGGGGCGTCCCTCTTGTCGAGGGGGAGGAGGAGAGACCAGACTGGGGTAGCACCACCTCTCCCTCAGCCTGGGGAGCCGTGGCAGTCTCAGAGAAACCAGGCCCCACCCAGGTAACCCCAAGCAGGAAGGGGCAGGGCTCCTGCTCGAACGCCGAGCCAAGGAAGCTTCCTGGCCATAGGCTGCACACAGGCGGAGCCCCCTCTGTGTGGACGCACAGATGGCCGCTTGAGCAACAGCAGCTGCTGGTGCGCCACCTGCTTCTGCTCTGGTGGAGTGGAGGTGACTTGAAGAGGGCCGTGGCTTCCCCCATGAGTATTCTGGCCCTTGTAGCCCAAATTCCTGTCATTTTAGGATGTGTTGATGATATAAAAGTAGAGGAAGACACTTTGCCTGTGATCAGCTAATCAGATTAGTGTATTCCTGTCTGTATTTTCCCTTGGAAATTGCCACTGGTTGTTCAGGGAAGGGTGGGTTTCCATGCATTGCAAGGGGGAATATTGGTTCTTGGAGGCCGGCATTCCCCCTTCTCTTGCCTCTCCAAGCGGAGTGCTTGGGAGGCCCTTTGTCTGCAGCTCCTTTCCGCATGGGCCCACACACCGTAAGATCAGCGTGAGCGAGCAAGCAAACGCTGTGTGCCGAGTTATGGCACCCCTGGCGAGGGCTTCCCTGTTTCAGGGGATAGTGTCACTGGCTGCAGCAAATATCCAGATCCCATGTTCCATCATCACAGTTGTGGCAGGAGCGTGTGTTCTGACTCTGCTGAAAAAAATGAGAACGCTGCAACTTCTATTCCCTCTTTAATCAACCTACAACTGTACCAACACAAGGCCGCGAGTGGATTTGGAAAGAGTTTTGTATCTGGAGGAAGACCATTCATTTCCCAGAATGCCTCTAATGCGAGTCATTGTTGGCCCCTATGCCAGCTGCACTAGGTTAGCACAGGGGGGCTATGCCGCTGTGACATCCCATCAAGGTGTCAGCCCTGGAGCAGGGGAGCTGCACCGACCACGCAAGTCTGTGCAGCCTGAACTTCACGGCATGCAAGTTTATTAGTACAGATGTTGGAGGTTTGGAATGCATACTGTCTTTAAAAAGCCTTTCAAATGCACTCAGGTCACAAAATAAAACCTTTTTATTTTGATATATATATATATATATATATTCCATCTGAAGTTTAATAGGTGAAAAAGAAAACATGTTTTTCTAATAAATGTTGCAAAGCCTGGGAAGACTGATTCAGGCATCATAGAACTGTCAATAAAGAAGCTAAATATTGATCTTTTTGGTGCATCAGCAACCACTTTGTCAAAACGATTCTTCACAAACAACAAAGAATGAATTCCATCCTTGCAGTAAAATGGGTGAGTTTCTCTCTCCTTTAGTCAAATTTTCTTCCGGGGACTTGTTTTCCCCTGAAAGTCCCAGCAAATCTCTGCCTCATCGTCGCAGCCTCAGAAAGAACGCATGCTTGCACTCCTTGCTGTCCAAAGGGTAGTATTTGTCATAGAAATCCAAAATGTACTCTTCTGTTTTAAATCCAAACTTCTGGTACAGCAACATTGCAGGATTACTGGCAGAGACATGAAGGGTCACGTCTTTGCCCATACACGTCTGTCAAAAGGGAACACCAACAGCCGAGTTAGTTGAAGAAGAAATCAAGTTAATACTGGTTAACAATACTTCTGTACCGATTTCCAGATGTCACTGCAGGGACCAGCAGTAAACAATTGCTGCTTAGGCCCTTGTCCATATGAGGCAACGCTGGCTTTTGCTTCCGAGGTGACCACAGGCCACCCCCGCTGCCGGGCAGGCAAATGCAGCGCCGGCCGGGGAGCGATGTTTGCTCAGCAAACTGTTCGAGGTTTCTTTCAGGATTTGAGATTGTGCTCCTGTTGTGGTGACTAAGCAATTTTAAATCACACAAACAAACCATGCTCTTGAATTTTGCAAGGGGAGCTTCTCTGTTCTTAATCAGCTACGAAGCATCATAAAAACCAAATGAACAATGGTGTACAAGAGTAACATAAATGATCCAGAGACACAAATTAATTTGCATTTGTACTTAAAAGTACAGGCTATGTTTATCAAGAATATAGATTACTTTCTAGCTACCTGAATAAGATGATAAATCATGAAGGTTGCAATGCCTGATCGTCTCCACTCAGGGTGCACGAACAGAAAAGAGATGTAGGCTTCATTGTATTTAACATCTGGCACCATAAATCCAAAAGCAATTATTACTTTTTTGTAAAGGACGACCACACTGAAGTCTGGATACTGCAGGCATTCGGACAGGTCAATCCCTGTGGGATGACGAAAGCAGACCGTGAGCAATCACAGATAAATCTATTCTGGGCTGGCCAAGACAGAGGGATTACTGGGAGTTTTGGGCCAAAACATCTGGAGGCTAAAAGCTGCCCCCCTGACCTGGGAGTCAGACTACTGGCCCGCTGCAGCTGCCCACCTGTGAGCGCGACTGTCAAAGTAAATCCTACCTGGCCAGAAGAACTCGCGGCACATCGAGTTAATCGTGGGGATGTGGTTCGGGCGCACGTAGCAATAGTCAACGGGTGCGCCCGGCTCAGCAGTCCAGCTGGGACCACCCTTCCGTGAGTGGGCCTGGATCTCACGCAGCAGCCGAAGCTTTGGGGGCTGAGTCTCGTAGTCACGCCTGCAAGAAATGCAAACCGCTCTAGAGCATTCCAGCAACCAGACAAGTTGCATGCGTGATGATGGCTAGGCCTGTGCCCTGAGCCCCAGCCACTTCCTGACATCTACCCTCGGGGACAAAACAGGGTTGAAGAGCCACAAGACTGGCACCGTGTAATGCAAGGGCACGGTCTGAGGCTTAGCAATCCACTCGTACACAGATCCTGAAAAGCAAATCGATACTTTAGGCTACAGTCCATCCCAGGCGTCCATGAAAAGAATGCAAAGAGCTTTTCACCTGGCTAAAGAGTCCTCTACAGATCCAGAAGCTGAACAGGTTTTGCCAGCCTGTGGGAACTACTTCCCACATCCATGCAGCACCAGACCTACAGCTCTGCTTAAATGCCCAGCAGGCCAGACACAAATTTCTCTCTCTCTACATTTGTCAATCACTGCAGTGTCCAGAAAGAACTGCACCTGATTAGTTTGAGCTGTAAAGCCTGGCCCAGTCATAAACTCCTTCCAATTGTGTTCCCCTTCACTGCTATGTGTTCACATGTGGGTTATTCTGCACGCCTGCAACTCTGGCCTCTGGCCTCTTCCAGTTCAGTGATTCCATGATTTAGTGTGGAATCATCTCTGTGAAAGCATCTCTTTTTTCCATCTGTAAAATGGGGATTGCTGTAACCTGTTTCATCAGGTGTTAAAGAAAGCCTGTTTCATTTGTGTAATTCTCCTATTGTTCAAGTCAAGTCCTCACAGCCGTTGGCCCAGTGGAAGCAGTCGGCAATCCTGACAGCTTTACTTATCCACCAAGACAAGTCACAACGCTGATGGGAAAGACGGACAGGCCTGAGTGCGCCCTCAGTGAAGGCAGCTCGACGGCCGCACCTGATGTAAGGCTTCAGGATCCGAGACGTGTAGGGGCTGATGATGCTCTGATCGGTCGGCGTGTCTCCCGAGCCTACAAGTCGACACAGAAATGTTGTCGCTGTTTGGCGAAACCCCTTCACAGCAGGTAGCTTGGTCTATGCAACAAGACAAGGAAAATAAAGGAGACAAGCTGGGGAAGCAGCCAGTGACTAAAAGCAGTGTTAGGACAACACTGCAACACGACCGTCCCGCTGCTGTTCGGCTCGTGCTTTTGCTCTTGAAGTGGTGACGGTGGGGGATGCCTAACAATCTTAACAACGGTTCTTGCGGGACGGGGATTTCCCCATCACTGCGTTGGGCAGCTCTGATGATCTGTAACTTCTGGCAGCACTCTAGCACTTCTGCTTGCTCCGACAAACCCAAATGGACCCATGCTTTAAACCAACGCTTTATTTAGCCTCACGAATGGGAGATGGGATATAACTCCTGCCTAAGACAGATCTTAACTTGCATGATTCCCGCCTAGGTAAATTCAGTGTTCAAATCCCCATCTAGCATCCATCTTACAGCTGGCAAACTCTTAAGTGAAGCGATGCCCAATTTGGTCTCACAAAGTGTCTCTTTAGAAAAGCCAACTTTGGTGCTTTCTAGTGCTTCGGTGCTACCCAGCTCAAGGTTGCCAACTGCTCCAATCTGTGGCAACTGTTTTCTTCCTCTGTGTAAAGGAGCGAACTGCTGCCAGCTAGACAGAGAATGTGCTGGCCGCCTTGCCAGAAGGAGCGACCCCGGGAGAGCTCAGCCGTTCCTCTTTGTGGCTATTTCTGCTGCTTCCTCCTCCACCCAGCAGGAATGTCCCTTGTTAGGAAGATAAAAACAGAAGCTGCTACAACCTCCTTCCCTGTCTCCATTAGCTGATGTTATATTTAAAAGCCCGGCATCCTATAGCTCTAGGAATGCCCTGCTGGTCCCAAGCAGGCTGAACGGCATCTCCCACCAGGAAATGGATATGCCAAGCAGCAGTTCAGAAATATTTACATAAGCCGAGAGCCATTCCAAGTTTGCAAAACAGACACACTCAAAAGACATGCTTATAGGTTTTGCTTGGTGGTTTTGGCAGTCATTTCTAGAGCACCAAAGGTTTTAAGCCTGTTACAAAGAGACTGCATGAGCAGGAAGCTATGGTCACCAGAGGAGCCCCTGAGAAGAGCAAATATCCCCCCCGAGTGGGAGGAGGTTAGGGCAGCTTCTCCTAGGAAGTCGGCTTTGCCCCGTCCCTCCCAGAGGAGTGCAGCAGCTGGTGTTCCTGTGGGCGCTTCTGTGCGCCGCGTGCCTAGCACAAGGCACCTGAAAGCCCGCTGCATGGTTTCAGAGGCCCCTCGTCCTCGTTGCCCAGAACCCTGCCCTCAGTACGGCAGCTGCTGAAAGAGGAGCCGCCCTTCGCAGCTCTCACCTGGTATCGATCCAAGATGCGGAAGTCCTGGCTGGTGGTCCTGCACACAGCGTAGCCGTTGGGCAGACAGGCGCCGTCGCTTCCCGTGCCCCCGTAAATCCCGTCGACCAGGAGGAGGGCAGCATTCGCGGCGCTGTCCAGGTCCAGGAGGGGCAGCCCCTTCCCGCGCTTGGCCTGGCGCACCATGAGCTTGCGCCGCAGCCTGCAGGCCTCGGGGCTCACCGCCACCGCAGTGGGGCAGGCCTCCAGCCGCTTCAGGAGCAGCTTCTCTTCGTAGATGCTGACGGGCAGGCACCTGGACACGGCGGGCTTCACGTCTCTGTGGGCCAGGCGTGCTTTCTGCTTGTCTCGCCCCTGCTCCGGAAAGGCGGCCGGCGCATGGTTAGCATTGTCGGCGTAGCCTTCCAGCCTCCCCGCCCGTTCTTCCTCGTTCTCCAGCTCCTGCTTGATCTGCTCGGGGACCTTCACCTTCTTTCGCATCATTCCTGCTGGCAGGCTGGGTGGCGGGATGTACTCGATCCCTGGGTCTATGACACCATCGCCTTCCGCCTCCTCGTCATCTACACACAGAACAGAGCTTTTCACCCACACTGCGATCGTGCGACTGGGCGCCCTTCCTAGCAGAGCGAGGCCCACAAGCGGAAGGACACAGTGTAAGACCTGGCCTGGCAGTGCACTTCCCCAGCAAACTGGTAACAGCCAATTCCCCCATTGGCTATTTTAAGGAGACTTCTTTGTAAAGAGATTTCCCAATGAAAACAGATCCAAACTTGCTCTGAATACGGTGAGGAGCTGGTGGGCTCCCAAAACCTGACAGTGAGCTGACCTTCCTATAGCAATGTGACTGTATCTAAAGATACAAGTTGGGCTGAGACAGTAAACCAGTCACTGTATTGTTAGGACTGTGGTCAGCGGGACAGAATGCAAAGCCAGCAAGCACCAGGGCAAGGGGCAACATTTTAACCTCTCTCCCGGAAGGAGGCCGGGGCAGCAAAGGGTGAGGCCACTCCATGCACGTGAACTGCTTGCAGGCCCACCGGAGCCTGTCCTGCTTGGCTAGTGCAGCCTGCCTCACAGGATGGTCCTCAACAGGTGTTAATCAGCAACAACCTGCAGTGCAACCGGGGTCAGATGTGACGGTGCAAAGGAGGTCTAGCCCTGACGAACGCTCAAGGGAGGCAGCTTTTACCATGAAAGAGGGCCTGCGGTGGCATTATATCCGGAACCAGGTCCGCTTCTGAGAGCAGGCTCGGTGTAGCTGAGTGAGACGCTGGTGTCCCCGGAGCAGAGAAATCCGGAGAGGGAGAGGGAGACGGGCTTGTCAAAGGAGTTCGGTCGGAGGAGCTCATGGAAGAAAAGTCCACCACCTCCCCTTTCTCAAGGACGATCTCGTGGCGACGACTCCGACTGGTGAACTTCACTGGGGTGGAGGACGTGCTCCTGTCCAGGAAGCCGGCTGCCTCCTTCTGAGCTCTCCTGATGTCCTTGGCTTCCTGCGTGCGAGACCGCTTCTCCTTCAGCTCCATGGCAGACTCTGCTGGGTTGCGACTCCCCCGCTTCCGGAGTCCCTCCACAGTAATGACTGGATCCAAAGGTGGCTTTGAACCTGCTGGACAGCAACCCGCGTGTTTGTTCCAACAAGCACAGAGGCTATCAATTTTAAAACTTGGCTCCAATGCAAAGGCAACATTGTTGTGAGCTGCCCCGAGGCTACGGCAAGGGGCGGCATAGAAATGTTTTAACAAATAAATAAATAAAACATTTACTGCTACATAAAAGTATCTAACATAGAAACAGAGCGAGTCAGAAGGGGCCTTCTGGGCCATCTAGTCTGACCCCCGGCACCAGCCGGCTCTGCTCACAACATGCCCACCATGTGTATGTCTAGCGTACCTTTGAACACCTGCACCGGTGGGGCCTCAACCACCTCCCGTGGAAGCCCATTCCACACCCTCGGGGTCCTGACTGTCAGAAGTGCTTCCTGGCATCCAAACGGAACCTGGGTTCCCTGAGCTTTGCTCCGTTGGAGCGTGTCCTGCCTTCCTCTGCAGGGGAGAACAGGTCTCTCCCCACCTCCGTGTGACACCCCCTCACATACCTGTATGTCACCAACAGATCCCCTCTGGGTCTCCTCTTCTCCAGGCTGAAGAGACCCAGTTCCCTCAGTCTCGCCTCATACGGCATCCCCTGCAAACCGGCCACCAACCTTGTGGCCCTACACTGCACTGACTCCAACCTGGCTATATCCTTCCTGTAATGAGGGGCCCAAACCTAACGTCATTAAAAGATACAAGAAGACAGTAATGCAGATTTATTTTAGATTTATGGATTGCAGAGATAGGGGACTGAGTTATCAAATACACTGAACATTTAACATCCACATGTCCGCAAGAGAGAAGAGTGGCAAGGAAGCAATGAGCAGAAAAACTCAAAAGACAGCAGAGGCAGGGGAGGACTGGACACACAAGGGTGCTAACTGGGCAGAGATATCATCATTTATTCGTCTCGTTTCTATTCTGCCCCATGGCTGACGCTCTTTGGGCGGCTCAGCTCAAGAGAATGAAAGGCAGGAGGAGATCAGAGAAAGAAGCAGACGAGCAGAATGGGCCGGGAGTGGGAATCCTCTCTTGCCTCCCAACGCTCTCCCATCCCATGCAGAAATGTTGCGGGACCTAAACTGCGAGGTGTAAAGGGGGAGGGTCCCATCATCTTGGCCGCCTCCTCACACACGCCCGCTTTTGAATGAATGAATGAATAAGCAGCCTTCCTCTGGCGTGCAACTGACGGAGTGCAAAAGCACCAGTGCACCATACGCTCCCTGGCTTTCGACCAAGTTCTCACCGCTGACACACGCACGCGCCCGCATATCCACATGCGCAAACTGACGTGCAGCTTTGAAGAGGAAAATACCTTTTGCTTTCAGGGCAGACACGGACAGCTTGTCGCCTTCGGGCTTCATGGTCGGGGGCCTGTTGTGAACCAGTTTCCACCACCCTGGTTCTCCAAATTCCTGCGCTCCCGAACGAAAATACAAAGGGCTTCCGACAGAAAGGCAACCGGCAACGGTGCTCCACCAGGTGGAAGTCTTCTTCCTGCATCGAGGGAAACGAAGGCCGTCTGAGGGCCACACGGGCCTTACAGGAGATGCAGGAGATACAGGAGAAGGGAAGTGTCCAGCCATGCTAGCTGGGAGCGCTGGGAGCGCCACAGTTTTGGGAGTCAGAGGAGAGCTATGAATACACAACTGCCCATTCCACCTTGGTCTGAGGACTTCACGCAAAGGTGGAGATTGCGGGAACACATGAAATCTGCCCTAAGCTGGGGGAGCGAGCACATTATCGTTCTTAAAAATAATTATGCACTTCCTTCAACAAAGGCACCCCAAATAGCCATGTTTTTATTTTTTATATTTTTATCTGTTGCAGATTCCACATAAATGCCACCCATTTAAAAATCAAAAGTTTCAATAGCTCCCCGACCTTTGCATTACCGCAGGCATGTTTATTCTTCCAGTGCTTTAATATTAAGGCTTTTTAGCTATCAAAAGGGCATGGGAAACCCATTTACACTGACCTTGCATTCAATTACAAGAGATGAGTAGGTAATTCAAAGGAACACGTGTCCTGACATATTAAAGAACTTTTCATCGCAAGATTTATCTCAGTGATTACCGTGTCTCCAAAGGAAGCTACCACTGGTCTTTGCCAAGACATAAAAAAGAGAATGATTAGCAGCCCTACTTCCAACAACTGGGCGACTTAATTAAGCACTTGTCAAAAAGACAAGCTTGTGCCTGGGTGGCAAAATGGGCCCACCTGGGCTGTGCGGGTCTGCTCCGTGCTTGGTGACTGCCTTGGAACGAGGCAGCAAGCCTGCGCGCGTCTCTTCCGCGGGTCTGTGCCTGCACAGGCATGGGAGAGAGCGCGGGAAAGAGGAGAACACGCTCGGATGTATGTCTATGGGACTTCTGATCTGTCCTGCGTGTTGTGAAAGGCAGGCCCATCTTTGTGCTTCAGCTTCTCGCCACGGAAGGGATGCACCTCATGACTGTTTTCTCCCAACATAACCTGCAATGACCATTGCTAGCTTACGTAAAAGCTACAGTGGACTTGAGCAGTACGTTTGCTGTACACGCTTCGGTCTCATCTGCTCAGCCTTTCTTCCTGAAAGAGTTTTTCTTCCAACTTCAGTGAAACATGGCTTTGCATAACATCCAAACCCAGACAAACAGCAGTGAATGATAATGTGTTTGGCAGAGACCCAAATAACACAAAAGTGCCAAATCTTGCTTAAGCCATTCCCTGCTCTCATTCACAGAATAGCATTATTTTACATTGCTATGGTAATCCATTCATTTTTTAATGACTTTGTATCCATAGTTTCCGCCAAATAGCTCAGGCCACTTTCCCTGGAGATTATGCAGCATTCTAAGCTACCATCTTAATATCCATGTCATATCACAGCTATTCATGAGGGTAAACATTAAAAAAGAGGTGTCTTATCCACTTGGGGAAAACTCAAGATGGACTACATAATCTCCCTTCTCTCAGTCCTATTCCTAAATGTCACCCCACTCGGTTCCTATTTTGTAAGAGACCCTGCCTTTCTGCCCCACCTTATGGCTGATGGGCCGCAGGGATGCTCAGTTACAAGCAGGCCCTGCAGGTAGCAAGCTTGAGGAACCCAAAGCTGGACACTGGAAGACCAGAGTCTCTTTCTCTCTCAACCAGGCAAGACCTGCCACATTTAACCTTCCATTTATATTTGAACTTCTGTTCAGGTTTTTTCCCCCCTTTGTCATTCGTTCTCAGATAAAATAATGGGATTACCGGTTTCCTAATAGAAAACTCCAGTGCTTTTCAATGAAAGCACAAATATCTTCCTTCCATCTAAAGTAACCTTGGCGGCCAGTTCCTTCCAGGGACAGGTTGTACATTGCCAGCATGACAACCTGAAAAAGAAATAGGAATGTTTCGTATCTAAGTAACACCAAAAAGGGCATTTTTCTAGTACAAGACAATATCCTTCTCCCAATAATTCTGCAAACAACTGAGTTGAATTTTGCCTCGAGTGTTCTTTAGAAAGTAAAGAGGGAACTCAGCAGGAATGAGTTAATTCCTCCAGCTCAGGGAGGTGAGGCAGAGCCTGCAGGTCCAACCTCTGCCCAAAAAGAAGGAAACTGCCCACAGCAATGAACTTGCTGACAGCAGTAGAATCACCTGAAACTGCAAATAAAACAACGACAGTAACTGAAGAGCCAGAAGAAAACAGAAGCCAATAGTGGAAGCCAGTGTGATGTCACAAAAAGTCTTGAGATGATCCAGACAAAAGGACACACGAAGGGGAAAGACCACCAGGCTGCAGAGGAAGAGCGCAGGCAGACAGCTCAGGGCTGGATGAACTCGATCGCCAAATAATAAAGGAAACAGCAGAAGACCTCTCAACACCATGATAGTGCTTAAAGATAATAACCTTTGAGAAATCATGGAGGACGGGAAGTGCCAGACTGGAAGAGGACTAATGTCCCCAGCTTCAAAAAAGGAAAAAAAGAACCTGGGAATTACGGACCAGTCAGTCTGACATCAATCCCTAGGAAAATTCTGGAACAAATAATAAAGAAGCCAGTCTGCAAAAACCTTCAAAACAATGCAGTGATTACTAGAAGTCAGCACGGATTCATCAAGAACAAGTCTTGCCAGGCTAATCTGATCTCGTTTTTGATTGGGTAGCCTCCCTCGAGGACTGTGGGAATGCTGTGGACATGGTATATCTTGCTCTCAGCAGGGCTTTTGACTAAATGCCCCACGGCATCTTGATCGGCAAAGGGGCAAGGAGGAGGCTGGATGGAACAACTTGAATCAGGTGGATCCACAGCTGGCTACAGAATCAGACTCAAGGAGTGCTCATCAATGGCGCCTTCTCAGATGGGAGTGGAGTGCCGCAACTTTTATGCAGTGCTCTTCAACATTCTTATTAATGATTTAGATGAAGTGGTGCAAGGAACGCTGATCGGATTTGCAGAGGATACAACACTGGGCAGGACATACTAATTCCCTGGGATACAGAAAGGAAATCCAAAGTGATCACAATAGGTTCAAGTGCTGGGCTGAAAGCACATCATGACATTTAACTGGGACAATGGCCAGATTCTGTCGCTAGGAAAAAGAAAGCAAATGCATCATGTCAAGATGAGACTGGTCGGCTTGACAGTATTGCAAGTGGGAAAGGATTGTTTTAGACCACTAGCTGAATATAAGTGAATAATGTGATGTTCCTGGAAAGGCAGAGAGGAAAAATCTGGTTTTACATCACACTCTGAACAGAAACTCCGCACAGAATCCTAATGCCCAGGAATCTGAAACCCAGTTCGCCATGCAGTGCCTGAAGAGTCACTGGCTACTCACTTGCTGCCATGTGAGCCGCAGCCGTTCAAAGTGCTCCTTCCCGTCCTCTGAGCAATCACAGCAGGTAAACCTGAAAAAGTTATCGCCCTTGAGATAGGTGACCTGCTCCCTCACCTGACCTGCAAAGCAAGCCGGAAAGCACAAGACACTCAGCCATTTTGCAAAACCCAAATATTGCATGTCATACAGTTGCAAAAGTACATTTCACGCTCGAGAGCAAAAGTGCAGCCCCACAACTAGGGATCAATAAGGAATTCCTTCTGGATTCCCTGGCTCGGCTCCCCTGACCCCAGCCTGCTTCCTCGCGGCCATGCATCCGGCTTCCTCTCCAGTGTGCTGGGCATTCGCTTGCGCAAGCCACGCGAGAGCAGCACAAGCGGCATCCCTCTTCTGAGCAAGCAGCTCCTGGCCTCTGTTTGTGCGGCACACGCTGCGGAGGGAGGCTAAGGGCTGCACAACTGGACTGCCTTGAGCGCCTGCAGGCTTCTTCTCGCCTCGGCCACCGCTCACTTCCCAAGCAGTGCAGCCAGCGGGGAGCTGAAGCCTAGAAAAGGCTTTCCAGTCCGGCCCGTCTTCCTCACAACAACGCTGTGCGGGGCGTCTTGTGTACACGGCCTGCCTCTGCAACGTCTTCACTTGTGTTCGGACCTAGACCCACGCCTGTTCCGAACGCTGCCCTCACTGCTGAGCCTGCCAGGTCTATCCAGCACATGCCCCTCGCCTGTTCCTGACTCCACCTTCGCCCCTGGTGCTGCTGCTGCGTCCTGCCAGTTTCTCCATCCCCTCTGGTCCTGGCGTTCCAGACAATCTACTGCTGACATCCTGGAGCCGACAGTGTGGCGGAGGAGCCACCAGTGCAGGTTCAACAAAGTGCAGGTTACAGTAACGGAAAGCAAAGACTAACAAGTCCTCACATATACTCAGAAGCATTTTACGTGTGACTGTGAGACATGTTATTTCTGTTAATAGCCAGTTATTTCTGTTATAAAGACCATTATCACAAAGATGTTTTCACATTACCACAGTCTGTTTTCTCTCCTCAGAAAGCAAATGGAACAATACTTTCTATGGTGAACAATAAATACAATTTTAAAATTTCTAATCTCTTCAACAACAGACTATCTCAGGCTAAAAGAAAGAAATGCAATACAATTCAGAAGAAAACCCACCCCAAGCACTGCACAAAAAGGCAAGGATAAATAAGAACACCCATAGAATGAATGTCTTAACAGCAGTAATTGTATCTTTCCTAAGTGACAAAAGGACTGGTTCACTCCCAGAGAATCATTACTTAATGTCTAAGGGACATGCAGGTCTGAATGAGCTACCACATTTATGAGTTGTTGTTTTTTTATCATATTGTACCGTACTTTGGAAGTCAGTGCAGACGTTCATCTGCACGGATAATCCAGCAATGAGAAATAATGCGGTTTGCTTTGCTTGTGTGTGTGAACTGACTCTAAAAGGACCTTCAGCCCACTCACAGCTATCCATTCCTGAAAGATTCCCTCCCAGTGCCCAGGTTTATGAAGAGCCAAAATTAAGACACCAAGACCTAGGGAGCCTTACCTGCTGGAATCCACTTTTGACACCTTTCGCAGTAATAAGACATCTCCTCTGTCCACGATGTGTCCCCCTCATCACTATTCACGGAGTCCCCGCTCTGATCGTGGCTCAGATCCACTGAAGCCTGATCTTCAGACTCCACGATGAGAAGCGTCTCCCCTTCCACTTCCCCTTCCTCCAGCCCTTCTGAAGGCGACGTCCTCGTTGCTTCATCGTCATGACAGCGAATCAGCTCACTCATATACACATTATCCATTTTGTCACGGATCTGACTCTTCCAGACTCCAAGCAGCAGCAATGTAAAGACTGTTTCAATAAATATGTACCAAGCCGCACACTGAAGTGGAAAGGAAGATGCCAAGTCTTTTCCTTCACTGTTGGGACGCTCTTGGCCTCAGCACTTTGCTCCTTTCCATTTCCATTTGCTTGGTGAAGGAAGGCTTTTCCTCGAAACAGTCAAGAGATCCTTGTTTATAGCTCTGTCTTTCGACGTCTCTGGCCACTCCTTCACGTAGCTTCTGCAAAAGGAAACGAACAGAAACACAGAACCAGAGCGAGTCAGAAGGGGTCTGCCGGGTCATCTAGTCTGACCCCCGGCTCCAGCCAGGTCCGCTCATGGCATGCCTGCCTTCCCACCAGATCGCCTGCCTCTAACAGGGTCGGCAACACGCGCAGGCTTCCCCAGGCGGGCAGCCGGCAGATGGACTTGCAAGGGAATAAAACCCTGCGGCCGGCCCTGGACCTGCGTGTGCTCAGGGCTGGTGCGACCCCCATCTTGGCAAATGGCCGCTGCGTCCAGATGCGGAGAGCGCCTGCCCAGGCGCAGCGGGGCGGGCCCGGCCCGGCAACACCTGCCGGCTCCCCGGAGCTCCGCGCACCTCCGGGGGCTTCGGCGGGCGGGACCGGCGGGCAGGACCCGTGCTGAGCCGACCCGGCCCAGCGGGCCAGCCCCGCTCCCCGGCATGCCCTCCCGGCCCGGGGGCGCCCGGATCGGGGCGGCTCCTCGGGCGCCCGGGGGAGGCGGCGCTCACCTCCCTCAGCCGCCGCTGCTGCAGGTGGACGCCCGCGATGACGCCGCCCGAGACCAGCACGGCGCCCGCCAGCACCGCCCGCGACGCCGCCGACATGGCCAGGGGGCGCGGCTGCGCGTGCGCATGCGCCGGCGCGTGCCCGGACGGCGCTTCCGGTGCCTCGGAGGGACGCTCTGCGCTCCGCATCGCCATAGAATCGGGGAGGAGCGGAGTCGGCGGGCCAGAGCGCCGCGCCGAGCCGCCGGGGGGCCCCACGCGCCCGCGGGAAATGCTTCCCGGGACCGCCACGCGCGTGCGCACGCGCCCTGCGCCCTGCAGAGGATCGCGCGCGGGCAAGCCCGGGGCGGCTGGAGAGCGCCGCGCTCCCCGGGCCGGGCAGCCCGAGCCTCGGCGCGGCCGCTCCGCCCGGCGGTCCCGCCTCGCCACGGAAGCGCGGGGCGCCAGGCCTGCCCTGCCCTGCCCGGACCGAGGTGCCCGGAGCCCCCGGCGCTGCAGCCGCCCGCTGGGCCGCCTGGTTACCGGCAGCGGAGCAGGACGAACCCCGGGCGGGAAGCACGTGTGACGGAGCCGCCGTTCCTCCTGCAGCAGAAGTGGGTGAGGGGCTCCGCGGATGCGGCCCCTCCTGTGGAGAGACCCTTCGCTGGGGTCCTGGACGCCGGGGCGATTGTGAACAAGCACTCCTAGCACCTTGCCTTTTGAGGGGTGGGGGCTTTGGGGGCCGTTTTAGGCTAGAAAGTAGGTCTCGCATTCAGTGCTTGGTTAGCAAAGACTAGTTTACTCTGTGCTTGTAAAAGGATTAGGGCAAGAGGCATGGATATCCCTGAGGCAAATGCTAGGTCTGCGGCTTGTTCCCGAAACTTGCAAACAAATGCCGCTTCCGTGTATTCCTCCATGTCCTCTCTTCTCATATCCTCCATACAAGTACAGCTCTGTTAAGTAAATATACTGCAGCCACGGTTCCCCAATTCCTTCTTAGGCAGGGCAAGCGGGAGCCCTGGGGGCTGATCACGCCAAGCCCCCCCACTGTAGATTTCAGGTTGTTCCAGAAGAAGCAAAGCCTCTCTTGTTACTGATATCAAACGCTGCATTGACTACAAATGCACCGATTCAATGTGGATGTGGAGGGCAAGGCTTGCGCCCAGATCCCGTCGGTCCCAGTATTCCTGGCTCCAGGGCTGCCACCCTGGAGACACCGAGGTGCCGCACACTTCCTCGCCCCCATTCCAGGGGAAAAGCTGCTTCTGTCTAGCTGTTGCAGTGCAGAGACCCCGCCGCCCGCTCCTACTCATTCAAGACGCTCAGCTAAAAGGAGGGGGAGGCAGCTCGGTTGCCCCCCTTCCTCCTGCCAAAGGAATGGGGTGCATGCAGTCCGCAGTTCAAAGAGCCCGGGGCCTGTGTCTCTCCAGAGGCCCTTGCCAGGCTGCAAGGTTTCTCTCGGGAAGACAGCAGGGGGCGATCTCTTCCAGGGCTGCTCATTGCGAGGACTGCCCCGGAGGTCATAGCGCCGGGGCAGTCCTCGCAACCTTGTCATAGCGCCTTCCCGCCATGTCTTTAGGCAACCCCAAGACAATCTACTCAATTAAGAATTAATCTGCCTGTATAGCGAGACATCAGACTAGCATAGAATCATAGAAGCGTCGAGGTGGAAGGGGCCAGAAGGCCACCGGGTCCGCCCCCGGCTGTTGCAGGACACCAAGTCACACCACCCCACTCGGGGGGCTGCCCAGCTTCTTTTTGGGTGTCATCACCGCTGAACGGGACATCTGTGTGGGGTGCAGCGCTTCCATTCCGTCTCCTGCAAGCTTCCGTTCTGGCTATTGCCCCTTAATGGAAGGCAGAATCTGGCCCGCTCAGCTTCTGTATTGCCTTTCTCAAGAGAACCGCAGAACCCTTTAGAAATGAGCGCCACTCTTGAGTCGGGTTATGCCTCCCCTTACCAGCCGTCGCTTTCAAGAAAACCGATGCCCATTGCACGGCAGGGCAGGCTCCTGGCTCGCCTGCGACTCGCATCCCCGTGCCTGCCGCGTGGGCTCTACGATGTCACAAACCTCCGTGTAGGGCAGAGACTCAGTAATGTGTGATGGAAGAGGCTTCACTCGGTCCTGGCCTTGCACTGCCACGCGTGGCGATTCCTAGTGAGGCTTATATGCCCCCACCTTTCCCGCGAGGAGCCTCAGGCGGCTCAGATGATCTCCGTTCTAGCCGTACGGCAGCCCAGTGAGGCAGCTTAAGCTAAACGTCAGTGGCTGACCCCAAGTCTCCCTGCGAGCTTCATCGCCAGGTGAGGTCCTGGTCCCCTTGCACCATGCTGCCTGGGGGCAATCCCCCGCTCTGAGCGCAGAGGTACCAAATGGATGCGTCCCTGCGGCCTGTGCCACTGTGCAGCTCCGCTGGGTGGATCCGGGGGACAGAACCGCGGCCTGGTTTGGCACTGCGAGCGCCACTCGGGGTGCCCCCAGCACCCAGCAGCAAAGGGCCAGTCGGCTTCCGTCTGCTCTGGGCAGGCATGAAACCGCCTCTCCTGCCCGGGCCCAAAGAGCCCATCCCACCTGCCCTCTCTGAGCAGGAGCGGGGGGGGGGACCCTCCCCACCGGTGAGCCCACAGCGAGCAGCTCCACCCCTGCAGCTCCCAGTGGGGGGGGGGGGCATCTGGGCCCTCTCCCGCCGCAGCGAAGCGTGGCGCCGACGGCACGGAATGCACTGGAGCCACACGCACGGCTGTGTCGGCAGGCCGGTTTATTGCACGGAACCCGCCAGAGGGACCCGCCGCGAGGACCCCGTGCCGCTGCCGCTGCCATGCCGCCTCTCGCGCCTCCGCGGAGGGCAGCCGTGCCCGCTCACCTCCAGTCGGCCTGGTTCTCTTTGGCCACAGAGTTCGGCGTCATGAGGTTGGAAAAGTTCGCCTTCCTGAGGGGGGCCGGCACCGTGTTCTTGAGCTTGTTCAGCTTGTCCCGCTCCTCTTGGCACTTCCTCAAGCAGGGGAAGCACAGGTCCTTCTCCTCCACCAGGTAGAGCGTCTCCAGGCGCTTGATGCTGTCGATGAAGAGCTCCTCCTCCGTGGGGCCCGGGAAGGGGTTCCTCTTCGCGTTCAGCTTCTTGAGCTTCGGGAGCTTCGCCACGCTGTTGGGGATGGTGGTCAGCAGGTTGTCGAACACGCCGACCTCCTGGAGCTCCTTCAGCGCCCCCAGCGTGGTCGGAAGGTTGTCAATGTGGTTCAGGCCGAGGTTGAGGTTGCGCAGGTTCTTGAGCTGGCTGAGCTCCATGGGCAAGCTCCGTGCCGTCAGCTTGTTGTTGCAGAGATTCAGGAAGACGAGGTTCTGCAGGTTTCCCATGCTCTCCGGCAGCTTGTCGATCTGGTTGCTGTGCAGGTCCAGCCAGCGCAGGTTCTGGAACCGCTCGATGGAGTCCGGGATCTTCTTGAGCATGTTCCTGCTGAGGTCCAGCTCATCCACGTCGTCCAGCTTGAGGATGCACCTGGGGAAGGTGGCGATGCCCATCTTGCTCAGGTCGAGTCGGCGCTTCCCGTCAAACGTGATCTTGATGCAGTTCTTGGCGACTTTCAGGGTGACTTTCTTCCCTTTGGGGCCTTTCGCTCCCTTGGCCATTCCCACAGAAGAGAAGGCGGCTCAGGGCAGGCGGACGGAGAGCAGCCTTCCGAGGGAGCCCCACTGAGGCCTGCCACTGACTAATGCTGAACCTGCATTAGGAACACACACACACGAGCAAGTGAAGCCCGAACGGGCTGCTCTTTCCACACTCGGGTGCCGCTAAGCGCAGCTGCCAGAGCGTGCTCGGTGGGCAAGGACGGCCTGCCCTTCCCGTGTCGATCAGAACAGAGGGCTCCCCACTCGTGGGGAGGCTGCAGTGCAGTGAGCCGTGCTGGTGGCCCCGCCGGACAACCGGAAGCAGCACCCTCATTCCCTGGGCAGCCAAAGGACTGGCCCTGCAGCGCCTCTAAAGCCCTTCTTGCAAAAACCAGCCGGTCCGGATACTTCAGTTGGTGCAAAACAGAGCTGCCAGGCTGCTGACGGGGACGGGGCATTATGTTCACATGACTCCAGTCCTCCGTCAGCTTCACTGGCCTCCCATTGAAGTCCGGGCCCAATTCAAGGTGTTGGTGATGACCTATAAAGCCCTAAACGGCTTGGGTCCTGGTTACCGGAAGGAGCGCTTACGTCCATATGTGCCCACCTGCCCCTTGAGATCTGCGGGAGAGGCCCTTCTCCGGGAACCCTCCGTGAAGGAAATTAGGAGGGTGAGTACTCGGAGGAGGGCTTTCTCTGCGGTGGCGCCCAATCTATGGAATGCACTCCCCAGAGAGGTCCGCCTGGCGCCGTTGTTATTTGTTTTTCGGCGCCAGGCGAAGACCTTTTTATTCAAACGTCATTTTAATTGCTAATATTATTTATTCATTTTATTCTTTGGCCAGGACTTAATTTATATTGTTAATTTATATTATTCTATTGAAGTTTGTTTATGGTTGTGAGCCGCCCCGAGGCTTCGGCGAATGGGGCAGCATAGAAGTCTCCTAAATAAATAAATAAATAAATGAGGGCAGACCTCCTGTGCCACTGCCCCCAGCAATGCAAACGCACCACCAGATGGGAAGGTCTTTTAAAATCACGTCAGTCATGCCCATTGCAGAAACTGGGTGCACATTTTGATTTTCCAGATCCAGTTCTTGCCGCGTATCAACAGAGCTTACAGGAGCGCAGCTTTGTGCACGGTATGGGGGACAAGATGGTCCATGGAAGCCCCTAGCAATGCATCTCCAGCTCTTGCTGACGCGTGTGTGTCCAGGTGGCCGGGGGTGGGGGAGATGTTGGCATCTGGCACCCTGGCAAATTCGGCGTCCTTGGATGGCGGAGACCTGCTCCGTGGAACGCCTGCTTCCCGCAGCAGACGGCCAGGCGACAGGGCGAGCCGCCACTTCTCTGTGCCCCAGCAGCATGTCGCTGGGGAGCTTGCATTTCCATTACAGGAGCCGGAGAGGCATTTTTCCTGGGAGTTTTTCTTTCTCTGGCTTCCTGGACATTCTCTTAAAGAACCACAAGGCACCATTGTATTTATTCATATATAGATATATACAGTGCTTATTTTGGTAAGAAAAACGGTGCCGGAACTCATGAAATTATCTTTCGCATGTTGTCAATCACTGTACACACACCCACACACATCAGTTGTGTAACGAAACATAGCGGTTGCCGCCCGCAGTAAGCACTCGGCGTGCAACCACATGACCAATCAAGCCGAGCAGCGCCATCACAACCGGCGCGGACGAAGTTCCCACGCATCGGACTCGACACACAAGCAGCCCGCAAGCACCGTTTTAATGATTTTGCCGCCGACCTGCTATGCTCGACAGGGCAATTCAAATCCACGTGGACCAAAGATCACATTTTCAAAAGTAACTTTTAAAACTTGGATAATTTGTCAAAAAAAGGTGCCAGAACTCCGTTCCGGTGCGTTCTATGACAAAAAAAGCACTGGATATATATATATAAATAAGCAAACACGTGCTGGTCTTACTGCAATTAGAGGGGTACTTCAGTTCCAACACGCTCAGTTGCGTGGGGCCATGGCTGCCTGGAAAACTGACTAAACAACAAGACGTATCTTCGTCCAGGTGTTGGGAAAGCAGCCAATGCAGTCAGCTCAGTATGGGATGAATATGCTGCGCACTTGATGCAAGCAGCGAAAGATGGAAGGAGTGTTGTGAGGGAAGGGGCGGATGACGCTTGCAAGCAGGCCCAGGACTCGGGGAGCATTTTGGCACCCCTGCGCAAGGGCCTTGAGGAGAGCGCTGGCCCAGCCCCTCCCCGCTGCAGGGCCCGCACCCCGGCAGCCCCCCACCCACCCGAAGGAGCCAGCCCGTGGAAAACAGACCTCCCCAAAAGGGCTCCCGGACACGCATCGATGGGAGCCTCGCTTACCAGCTGGCACACAGAGAGGCCGCCAGCCGCCGCCTTCATCGCTGGGGGGGACTCGGCACCCGTGTGTCGTCCACTAGCCAGCGTCTCCGCTCAGGAATCTCCAAATAATGGATCATGCTTTGCCATTGCACGGGAGAAACAGCCTGGCCTGCAAGGGAAGCGTTTCTCCTCTCAGCTTCTCATACGTCCACAGATTCTGAAATCCCGGTCGGAGCTGGAAGCCTGCTTCGGAAAAGGCAGCCGTGCCACGCTTCTGGGGTGTTCTAGGCAGCGCTTGTGATGCCGCCTGTGCAACTTCTGTTCCTAAGCAACAGGAAATTCCAAGCCCTTCCAAGGAGACGCTTAGCACAGGCCGTTTCCCACGAGCGCGTTCAAAGGCGGCTTAAGGAAGCCTCCGCGGCTGCTCTGCCCACGGAGCTGCAGGGCTGGGGATCGCAACAGGTCTCTGCGGGACACTGGCCGTATTCTGCAACATCTGTGAGCTTCGCTCGGCATCCAAGCCTGGCAAGGCCCCAGAGCGGCCGCCAAACGGCGGCACCAGCGCAGCGCTGGCAGCCTGGCCGGCCACGCAGGTCCTGCGTCAGACTGCGCCACGGAGGGTGTGCAAGGGAGGTGGGAAGCCGCGTCTGAACAATGCAGCACCCGGCTCGGCTCGTGAAGGGGTGGTTGTCCGCTTGTGCCTGAAGGTCACTATTTATCCAGTAGGTTGGAGAAATACTGATCCAGTAGATTCCAGAAGAGCAAATAAAACAACAAAACCGTAACGTTCGTGGCAAAATGATGCAGCGACTAAAAGCACGCAGCAGGCGAAGGTTTTGTTCAGATTCAGACACAGAGGAAATGCATCTCTCTTTTCTTACTGTGAAATGGATAAGAAAAATGAGAAATTAAATGGTAAATTCAGTGCTGCAACTTGAAACAAGACCTGAGGTTTAATACTGTCTAGAGTTGATACGTTCTTATCAAATTAGTAGTTTGCAGAGGGCTTTTCCAGAGAAAAATTAGGATTTTTTGAAGGATTTGAACATGCTTAGAAGACTAAATGGCAAAAGAAGTTGGCAAAAGAAGGAGGGGACGGCAGGGGATGGGGTGGCTGGATGGGGTACCTGGAGAGGTGGGTGTGGGCTTGGGTGGACTCCGGGGGATGGTGGGGGACAGGAAGGCCTGGAGGAATGTTGTCCATGAGGTCACGATGGGTCGGACACGACTTCGCGACTAACACCACCAACAAGAAGACTAAAATATGTTGCTATTATTGCCAAAACATGTTTTAAGGATTGCTGAATTCCAGCAATGGCAACAAGAGTGTGTCTCTTGGGGCAGGAGAAATCCATCGCAGATATTGATGCCACTAAGAAAAACTGGCAAAGAGCCACAATGAGCACAGAATCAACCTCATTCTCCAAAATGAAAAGAAAATGATTTTGCAGACAGAAGCAACTAACTCCTTAAGAGATGCTCTCGTGGAAACTGTGAGCAAACATAGTTTTCTTACAAATCGCTGAACCGAAAGCAGGTATTTTTCCGTTTGCTTTTGTTTTTGTAAAGAAAGCATGGGAGGGACAATCGGCAGAGCCGAGCGTTGTGGAGCTTCGCAGACGTCCCTGAAAACCTTTCTGCTGGCGCTTGCAGAAGACGCCGCTGGAAGGCACCGGCGGGACGGGGCATTTGTCCTGGAGCTCCGTGTTGACCGCTTCTGTCACTGTACAGAAGTACCGTCTATTTCTAAAGCAAAAACCAACATGCCCGGCCACTTTTATCTTTCCCCCCCTTGGTATTCTAGGCAGTTCAAAGCTAAACACTTTGAGGGTTTTGGGCATTCAGGCTAAACTCACTATAAAAGAATTCCAACACTGCACGCAGAGGAAACATGGCTTTGTTTCGAAGTTTGTTTAAAATGTCTGAGCAACACGGCAAAGTGCTAGCACGTGGTGCTTGTGTGTGCGTGTGCCTGTGGTGTGCATGTATGTGAGAAAGAAAGGTAGGGTGGGACTTCTATACAATCGAGACAATAAATCGGAATACTAGCTGGATGTGAGCCTAACGTTTCTAGCACTGGCAGGCTGGCTAGTTCCAGGAACTGCGTGAGGGGCAAGCGGCAGCCTCCCGGGCTCGCCCCGGCCCTCTGCTTTCAGGGATGCTCGCGAGGAAGACGGCGGGGCCTTCCCAGGCTGGGCAACAGACCAGCAGAACAATGCTTCCTGCAGACCCACCGCAAAGCCCCCAGCCCTGACCAAATAATCCCACGGTCACACAATACGAGCGTATATGCCTTCCCTTTCTTCAAAACACTACAAGAGAATCCTGAAGGCAAGCTGGGATCCAAAGTAGCTGTGACAGATCAGGAAAGAAGGGTTGAAAACTTCATGGTGACAAGCACACGGGAAGCCGGATTACCTATTAACTGTGCGGCTGAGTAAATGTCAGTCCATACGTTTTATTTAGATCTACTTAAGTAAAATGAGAGTTCACTTCCCCCTTAACGAGAGCTAGCAATGTCCACCTCCGCCTGTAACAGGCTTGTTTTACCTGCCAGGGGTCGGTCTCTGCCCTGGGCAGCGATACAGAAGGGCAGGTGAGCTCTTGGGCTCCCCCAGGCCGAGGAGGCTCTCCCACCCGTGCGGGCGGGGGCATCTCTGTCGCCCGGCCCCGGAGGAGGCGCAGAGCAGGGGCCTTGTGTGAAGGGGCAAGGGGCCTGGAGCGAGCTTGCTTCAAGTAGCGGCGTGCCGTTTGCATCCCGTGAGCGGGTGGTATTTGCCTGGGGCTTGCACGCACCCCCGCTCCGGGGGAAGCATGTCCAGGGCGACATGGGACGCTCCTCACATGGAGCCGAAACAGGTCTGATCGTTTACCGCTCACAGCGGCGTGCGTGTGGGTGCGTGTTGCAAGCACAAAGAGAAAGCCAGTGCACAAAACGGTTCCTCGAGCCAGGCTCACACACGCGCCAAACAGGGCTGCAGTCTGGATTCCGGGGGAGCCCGGCCACCGGGGGGGAATGGAGGCGTGCTCCTTCTGAGTTCGGGGTGCTCGGGGATCCTGGCGCCCCCCTCACCTGGTTTTCCGACGTTACATTCTTTGCAAACATTCATGCCGAAGGAAGGGTTGGAACAAAGTGCAGCTGCTCCAACCGGTCGGACAGGTACGGAGGCTTGTTGACACCGTTATGTTTGCAGTGCGCATGCTCCTTTTCGGGTTTCCTGGTGGTGCTTTTGCTCATACACCTTATAAAACTTGGGGGGTGGAGGGGTGCTGCGCCTGGCTCTCGTCGGGGGTCGGGACCGGCGCACCAGGGTGGGCCGAGCCCTCCTAGCCAGGCCCGCTGCAGGTGCCTGCGGGAGGAGGACGGAAGCAGGGGTGGCCAGCTCGGACCCGCCAGGAGTGGCGTCCTGGGGCTCACCATGCCCAGAGCCTTCCTCGTGAAGAGACGGAGCCCACTGCCTGCCAGCCGCAGCTGGGACGAGCTGCCGGACGAGGAGCGGGCGGACACCTATGTCCCAGGTAAGGTGGAAGCATCTGCCCCCCCCTCTCCCCCTCCATTACCAGAGAGGAGTGTCAACTGAGTGCCCCCCCCCCAGTCCAGGAGCATTTGCCTAACCCCAAATCAGGCAAGCTCCCCCAGGAGAGAGACGGCCTGGGCCGTGACCGCCTCACTGCAGGACGCACACCCGGCGATGCGGGGAAGCGCCCCGGGGCCAGGCGCGTGTGCTCCAGGCAGCTCCGCGCGGTGCTGGGAAAAGCAGGGCATGTCTGATCTGGCTTCATGGGTCTGGACGCCATGCCCAGCGTTTGAAGGGCCTGTGGCTGAAGAGCGGCCAGGGCAGAGAGCACAGGGGAGGGTGATGCCTCGCCGGCCTGGGATGCAGACGGCGCTGTCTCCCTGTCCAGGTGCCAGGCCAGGAGGGCACCCCGTTTTGCCAGCCGGGTTGCACAGGGTCAGGATCCATCCATGCAACAGGGCCAGGGTCTCTCAGGGGCCTTGGCACAGAAGCCGGCTGGGACGTCTCCCTTCCCCGCCTGCCCTCTCGCCTCTCCAAGCGCCGTGGAGACTTGGGCACGAAGACCTGCTGGGAGGCCCAGGGCAGGGCACACGCTGCCTGATGGGTCCCCACACATGCTTCCAGGGTGCCACCGGCGTGCTGGCTCCCTCTCCCGAAAAGTGTGGGCAAAGCACCCCCAGGGAAGGCTCCGCCACCCGGGGCTGGGCTGCCCACGCTCTGCTGGCGCCCCGCACGGCCTGCCTCCTCTCCCAGTCCATCCCCAGTTTCACTGGAGTGATTTGAACTTTGGCCTCCTCCGAGTGTTTTATATTCTCTGCGGCTGCTCGCTGGCCCAGGCGCCTCCCTCTTCTGGGGCCGCGGGACCCACCCTGAGACTAAACAGAACTTGCCTGGAGCCCTGGGCTCCGGGGAGTTCCCGCTCGGGTCCCACCCACCCCTGCTCTGCTTTTCTTCCTTGCCGCTCATGAATGAAACGCTGCTTCCGGCAGAGAGCGCCCACAGAAAGGCCCCGTGCAGCTGTTCCGCCTCTTTTTCCTTAACGGATGTTTTTCCATGAAGAAGCAAGATGGAAGGAGCCCTGGGAAAATGCTGGGTGGCTACGGAGTGAATGCAATGCAGTATTGTCCGGGCGGACTTGCCCTTGAATATTCTGCGAATGAGGCTGGAGGATGGCACGGCGGCCTAACCTGGGAGCATCCTGTGCTGGGGGTGGGGGGAATACAGAGGCAAGTGCCCCCCTCCCGGACACCCATCCTGAGAGTTAAAAATCCAGCGGGAAACCTGGATCCAGTCCCTGTTTGGCGAGGCCTGAAGTTGCCCAGTTCCCCAGACTCCTCACACTCCAAGTTCCACTTCGTCCGCCCATCTTTTACCCACCCATTCTTTTACCTGAATCCTCTGCAGTAGCTTGCTCCGGTTTCTCCTTTGCAGAATGCACATTTTGCCAAGGTGCTGGGATGTATCGTTAATGAGGTTGTATAATTAATGCTGCTGAACTCTCCAAGCGCAGGGGGAAAGGTCTGCGCTGCCTGAAAATAAAGGTCCAATTTGTATGTAACGGCCCTAGTTTGCCGTCACATTGAGACTTGGATTTGTTTAAACCTGCACAACCTGGGAAGCCTGGTTCACATGGCATGACAAGAACCCAAAGAGGCTAGAAACTCTTAAAGCAACAGCCGCAGCTTTTAATGTCCCGCCTTTATGGATCTCTGCCCAGCATGAGATAGCCTTAACTCTGGTCTGGAATGGGCCGGGTTTGGTTCGTTCATTTGTTTTCAAATCACTGAATTTCCCCGGTTTTTCCAAAGGAGAATTCTCCTTAAGGTATCAGACCTGCTTTCCAATAGGCAAACCTGCTCAGCTCAACGGGATGCTGAACAGGAAGAGGAAAGGTTTTCCGTGAGGGCTTGCTCCGGATCGCTGAATCCCACTCAGATCTGGTCCACATCTTTCTCCACTGAAGGAATGGGTTAAGACACACTTGTTCACTTGATTTCTGAAGTCGTGTTGGTTTTTAGAGTAGCTTTTACTGTCTGATCATGTTGACTATGTCTTTTGGGTCCAAACCTTTTAAAAACTGCATAGGTTGGTCCCAGAAAGGTACAAGGTACAAAGAAAGGGAGTTGGGGGGGGGGGAGAGGGCTGCCCCACTCGCCTTTAATCTCGCTGATGAAAAACCGTCTCTTGGATTCCCAGGACAAATGAGGTGTTTTCTCCAGTATCGCAATGAGGACAGCTGCAGCTTGGAGAGCACCAGCAGCCGGGACACAGAGGCCACGAACGCCTCCGCACCCGAGTTTTCGGTGGAAGAGACACTTGTAGACGTGGCTGTGAGCCACCCTACTGCCAGGTCCAAAATCAAGGTACAGCCGTTACTGGTCCTTCTTCGGACATGAAGCCCTCAGGCGTGTAGGAAATGCTCCTTCCTTGCCACTAGAGGCAGGTCTGCGTGCCTGTCGTGATGTGGCGAACTTGCCGCCTCACTTCCCTTGCCATTTTGGTTCCCAGGATGTGGCAATTTAGGATATTACTCTGCCGGAAGTGATGAACTTGAGTGCCTTTGTACACTGAAGGCTCCATTGCCCTGTTCTTGCGAACTGGGCCCCCACTGAAAGCTCTTTGTGATTTTTCACTTGTGTAGTGTTTTGGTGCTGCACATTTCAAGGGAAGAGGGCGACGTGCAGCTATTTCTCCTGCTGAAATCACGTAAAACCATGGTTAGGTTTAGCAGATCATTCTTTGAAAACATCTCACACAGGAGCTTTTACAGGCTACAGCCAACTTAACGAGAGGCATTCCAATTAGTCAGATGAAGATCATTCATTGATTTCATGGGTCTGATGAAACATGAATACTCCCATCCATGGGGCAAAGTCTTGCTTTCTGCTACGGCAGACTAAGGTTACAAATCAGCGATTCGTACAATGAAGCCCACAGACATCAGTGGGTTTCTGTTCTTAAGACTCTACCGGATTGTGGCCGGACGATCCAGTGGCGTTCCGGACCCATGATTAAAAAGCATCGTAATTTGGTCTGCTGGTTTTGTTGTCTTGGCCCTGCGCTGGTTGAATGGAAGTGTATTTAAAATGGTTAGTGCAGCACAGGGACTTTACTGGTTTAAATTCACCGGGTCAGGTCTGCCCGCTGGGATGCCCCGCTTGCTTTTCTTCTAGGTCCCACCCACACGCTTTCCCTGAAGCACGGATATTGGGCAGCTTCTGTGCAGTCTTCCTCCTATTCGGAAGAGCCAAAGAGCATCTCCTCAGGCCCACTTCAGGCCGGCCCAGCCCATTCGGCTTTGACTGGCACCTTCTGCCTGTGCCCGAGCCCCAAAGCGTCTCCAAAACAGAGTCAGCCCTCGGCACTTGAGGAGCTGCTTGCCCTGGGCTAGAGGTTGCCCTCTTCCAGTTAACCAGGCTTCCTGCCGAAGGTCTGTGTTGTGCGGGAACTGAAAAGTCAGCCACCCTCCCTGCGGCATCGGAACCGGGGTGGAGAGTCAAGTCTGGCGGAATGGTGCAAGTTGTTTCTGAGCGCTGCAAAGCACTCTTGCCTGGCGGTGACACATGGGTGGGGGTTCTTGGCTACAGACCCCCCAAATTCGATTTTGGTAAAGTGCTGGCTAGCGGAGAGAGCATTCCCTAGTACCTAAAAACGTGTTCCTAGCCCATGTGGGTCCTTCTGTGGAAGTTCAACTCATCTATGGAAATCCACTGGGGGGTCAATAATTGTAACGCAGACCAATTGCAACTGCAGCCGGGCTGGGCTGCCCCTCTTTGCACCAATCGGCACAAACGAGGGAAATGAGTTGGTGACTAAAACACACATTTTTAACCAGTCTCTGTCACCGCTGTGCTGGCAAGGATGTGGCCACATCCATTCCTTGACGCATAGGGGGCAAGTCCATCTAATAGCTGTAGACATTTGAAAGCCTATTCTTTCTATCATATGTGAAGTACTTGAACCATGAATTAAAAATTGGGGGACTCTTGTCCTTCTTTTACTTTTTAAAGATGAGAAAGAACACTGTTTACTTAAAGACTTAACTGGTATCATGATTGCAGCTGCTCAACCTTAGACTGGATAAAATTGGGAATCTTCTTATAGACTATAAATACAAAACTGGATAACCAGATTTGGGGGAATTGTTCCTCTGAAAGTCTGAGACTCAAAAAAGACTGGAAAACTGAGGCTTCTTCATCAAAGTGCTAGAACCATTTATTACAGGTGCAAATGCCTATTTTTCAACCCATGGTGCTCCACCTGCCGAATTCATATTCTGGACCAGGGCATTGTTACCCTACTCACCTAAAAATCTTGTGTTTAGTTTCCCCAAAATAAAAAAACTCAATTTTAGAAAGTCTGGGGGGTGGGGGAGAATAGTGCTGGAAACATTACCGCAAAAGGTCAAACTGTCCTTCCAAACAATATCGCACAGAATAGGCGACAGACATATCCAGGCGGAGGATGGCCGCCCCGTTCACACTTCACTACCTCATTTGGCTCAGGCGGGTTTGTTTTCCTGGCAACCGCCTGGCGGTGGGAGCCCCCCAGAGCTCCTGGAGCGCTCGTTGGAGAGACAGGGACAGATTTCTCTGTGAGGCTAATTTCCATGTTTCCCCTTATGCTGCAGGTGCCATGTTTTGCTTCTTTTATAACGACGCTTACAAAAAACTTCAGTGCAGTTTTATGAGGGGAAAACAGAAGTGTTCTGGGTTGCAGCGATTTAAATGTTTTGATGTGGACACGATCCTCCTGCGGCTGCAAAAGGCAGAAGGGCCCCATTAGCACAAGGGGTATTCCAGAACGCGTCCGTTTATGCGCAATGTGTGAACCGCCAAATCGAACGCCCGTTGGCCGCAGATCGGGGCCTTCCAGGGCTCGGCCCAACGGTTTGCAAAGGAGGGACCTCGTCCAGCTCCGGGGTTGGTAGGCGGCACTCCGGACGCTGGCCAGGCCAGCCCAGGGTGTGTCGGATGTCCCTTAGCGTGCGCTCGTTGTGTGTGACGTCGGACGGGCCACAGGCTGCGCGCCTAAATCTCTGCGGCATTTCCTCCCCCCAGTTCACCACCGGCACCTGCGGGGACGTCTCGGGGCACCACTGCGAGCTGTGCGGCAAAGGCTTCCGCCTGCAGCGCATGCTTAACCGCCACATCAAGTGCCACAGCCAGGTGAAGCGACACCTGTGCACCTTCTGCGGGAAAGGATTCAACGATGCCTTTGACCTGAAGAGACACGTCAGGACACACACAGGTACGAGCAGAGTTTACGGGAAGTTATGTGCCGAGAACGTACCAGGGGAAGACAGGGGTGCGTTTGCTTCACCTGAATGGCCGGTGCCTGCATTTTCTCTAGATGGCCATGCGGATTGAGGCCCAGCAAGTGCCGAGGAGGCGGCTGGACGCTTAAGAGGATTGCCAAGCATGTCATGTGCCCCCATTTTCTTCTCTTCCTGCACGCCCCCCCCCCCCCCCGCCCCAATCAGGACAGCTTCAGGACAGCTTCTGAGTGTGCCTTTCCTGGAAACCCCCCTCCTTCTTGAATCCTTCTTCCTCTGATATTTCCCTGCCATCTAATCATACTAATTAATGCTCTGTGCTTATTAAAATCCACTTTCCTGGAATCTTTGACTGCACTCAGTATTCGTCTTCCTTTAACTTCACTCTCCACAAGGTTTCCGCTGCTTTCATCTCATCAGTGAACTCTTCCCTATCAGTCTTACTCAGCGTCTCCTCCTGCAGCAGAAATGTTCAAGCACTTGCTTTTCAAGCACGAGCGATGGAGAGAAAGCCGCTAAAACTGAGCGCATCTTGCCATTTCCCTGCTCTTCCAGAAAACTGTGGTAATTACCTTCCACCACCTTGGTAATTACCTTAGGGATATGACGCAGGGCAGGCAGAGAGTTCTTCTGCCGGGGGCCACATTCCCTTGGGGCAATCCAAAGCGGGCAGGTCTCTTCCCGTCCCCTTCTCTTCCCCCCGCTTTACTGCCCCAATGGGGTGCCAGGAGAGGAATGGGGTGCTCTGTCACAGGTCTGAAATTATTGCTTGCATGGGGCTTTTGTAACCACGCCAAGAACCCCCCAGATATAAAATTTATAACTGTATACAGGGGTTTGATAGCTCTTGCATTTGTAATCTCTAAAGACAGATATACAAAGGTGTCTCGGGGGGTCAAGTCCTCTTAAAGTTTGCCTCCTAACACACTCGGTGTCGCCTTGCAGGAATTCGCCCTTACAAGTGTGAGATTTGCAACAAGGCCTTCACTCAGCGTTGCTCTTTGGAATCACACCTCAAAAAGATCCACGGGGTGCAGCAGCAGTATGCGTACAAGGAGCGGAGAGATAAACTGTATGTGTGCGAAGATTGTGGGTACACGGGCCCAACGCAAGAGGACTTGTACGTACATGTCAGTAACGTTCACCCAGCAAGCGCCTTTCTGAAGAAAACCTCAAAAAAACTTGCAGCCGTTTTGAAAAACAAGCTGACGCCTCCCACAGAGATGACCTGCAACGCAAGCGAGAAGGAACAGGAGCGCTGCGCTGGACTGTAGTGGCAAAGCACTTCAACCCCGACGTGTGTTTTTCCCAATTTCTTAGGGAGGCTGCAGTGGAAGAAACTGTAAAATAGGTAAAGGGGCTTGAGAGTTTTCGTTTCCTCACTCTTATGCCAGCCCACCGGGCCAGAGGCAGCCATTGACTTTCTGGGCACTGTCCTTTGCCACACCAGGTCCCATGTGGATGCACGTGCCAAGAGCTGGCTGCGGATCCCCCTTTAGCTCAAGACTCTGAAACTCAGGAGATGTGGTTCAGTTCCAACGGGCATCAGCACCTAAACCCGCTCAGCTCAACCATCTGCTGCTCTTCTCCACCCAAGCGATATCCTCCATGACGTACAGTGATGAATACACACTGCGGGATGCCCCACAATCTGAATTTTATCTGATTCCCTCAGTCCTGGTGTAGACATCTCACGTGTCTCTGAGAAATAAAATTTAACCATGCTCGTAAATTTATGACAGAATAACGTTGGTCAACACGGGCCTTGAATTTACACCAAGTATCTTTATGAAGAGCATGGTAACAGCCTCTGTAGCAAAACCACCCTGAGATATCGATGAATAAGCTGGCAAAACATGTTTAGTGGCTAAAGAATGGGTTGTTTATTAGCCACAGATCTGGGTTCAGTCGCTCAGGCTTCAACAGGGAAGCTTCTGCCCCTTCTCACAACCAGTGCAGAAAGAACCAAGTTGGAAGTCCGAGAGCAGAAATTTGTCCTGGAGGGCAGGGAAGGGAGGGGGGGACAACCCTTTTCTACCTGGTTGTACTAGGAAGAAGTCTTAAGCAAGTTTTATGGAGGCTGCATCGATATTCGGCCTTAGAATGCGAAGCGGTGTCCTGAATATGTGTATCAAATTGCATTCCAATATGCGGCTCGAACCTCACATGCCAAAAGAGGAAGGGTGGCCAGGGCCAGCTGTGGATCGCGCATCCTGCACACGGCATGTTCACATGCAGTGCTGGTTTGTGGAGTCGGCCCAGTCGAGCTCGTGCTCCACTTGCTCGTCCGGGTGCCCCTTCCGCATTTGCCCAGGTTGCGAAACATGCCGGCCCCGAGACCCCCGTCCCACCGGCTGGGCTCGCATCCCGCCAGGTGACACGGAGCATCGGGGGGCCGGAAGACGGCATGCGGTACTTGCTCCCGCGTGCATGCTCGCCCTGCAAAAACGCCTTGCAAACTTTGTTACTGGGTAGGATAAAAACGTATTTAATAAAAGATAAAACACCGCACGGGCTGGGAGCCCAGTAAACCAAGCGGCCACTGATTCAGGGGTCTTCCTTTTCAGGAAACGATTTACTCGGCACGAGCCTCCTTCTCTTTCTCTCGATATTCTTCCAAGCGGAGTAACCATTTGTCCCAGTACAGGTCGCAGAGCGCAGAGTCCATGTAATGCGAATGCGCGGGAGAGCCGTCCTTGTAGGCGATCACCACGAGGCCGCAGTTGACCTGAGAACGGGAATCCAGAGAGCGGTGAGGGGAAGGCGCGTGGTCGCAACCGGCTGTTCTTCACGGCTGCGCAAGCTCCCGAGGGGCGGCACCCGCGCTGGAAGGCCCTGCCCGTCGCGACACACGCACTGGCTGCGGGGCCGCGTCCTGGGGCACTGCCCGTTGGCGCAGCCGGGGCGCTGTGCCGTGCCTGCCCCTTCCAGGGCCGGGCCCGGGAAGGCCTTTCATGTCCCCAGCATTTTAACCCCGAGCGCTTTAAATTTCATTCCACTGTATTCCTTCTTGCAAACAAACATTCCATTTTATGCTGCACCACTGCAATGCCTCTAGGCTGAACTACAGCAATTCCTGGTGATTTAGATGAGACAACAGGAAGAATTTGATCTCTCTCAGAGCAGGACCACTGGGGGAAGCCGTGGGCTCTCCCTCTCTGGAGGCATTCAGAGAGCATCTGGACAGTCCTCTGAGTGGGAGGGCATGACTTGGGTGTCCTGCACCAGCAGGCGTTGGACGCGATGGCTGCCTGGCCCCGTCCAGCTCTACTCTTCTATGATTCTAATTGCAGTTGCTGTTGTGGCTTTGTTCTTTTAAATTAGTGTGTGTGCCTTTTTAGCTTTGCTTAATTTTTACGTTGGTTAACTGCACAGAGAGCCGCAGCGACCAAGGAGATAGATAAACCCACGTCCAGACTTACCTGGAAGTCGTAATTCTTGTCATGATTGAGGGCTCCCGCATATGCCACAACCTGCAGAGGACTGTCAAACGTACTCTGGAGAAACGGCTTTGGTTTCTCGGATGTCTTCCAGTCAATTAAGCATAACGAACCCCTGCATGGCCAAGAATAAAATGCAATTCCGTCATGCACAAACAACAAAAACCATGCACACCACGGAGCAGTAAGGATCGGTCTTGCTCAGCTCCAGGCCTGCTCTACCTGTGGGACAAGCCCCATGCTCCGCTCCGGCTGCAGGCGAGCCGGCCTCGTTTCCCACCTTGGTGCCACGTCTTGGGCGGCTGTGGAAAGCAGTCCCGGAGCAAGGAGAGAGCAAGAGCAAGAAGAGGCCGTCCCAGGCCCAGGGGAGCGTGGCCAGGCTGAAAATACAATCAGAATTTGCAGATCAACAGATCGTTCAGGGACATAGCTATCAAGGATGATCTTCTTCAGCAGGGGAACGGGGGCGGGGGGAGTTGTACCCTTCAGCACAATTATGATATTTACACTGTGTGAAACTTTACTCAGAGCAGCCAGTTCGTGCATCCACCGCTGCCTCCGGGTCTTGGAAAGAGCTTAGCTCTCACCCAAACCGTCACACGTTTCTGAAGCTCTGGCACCCAAGTCATTTTCTGCAGGTCAGTGGGACTTACCTCCAGGAAAAACGGTGTAGGGATACGGCCCCAGACTGTGGAAGAAGTAGGAAATTCATGCTTCCCGCCCCCAGCCCTTTCCCACACGTCCTCAAGCACTGCTGCGACAAATTTTTCTGCACTGATTTGTTTTGCTCGTGCTGTTTTGCCATCGCAACAGCTCCAACAGATGCGTAAGAGATCTGCAAGTGCACAGCAGACATCTAAGGAAGGGCGGCATACAAATGGCCTGAAAGCAGTGAGACAGGGTCCCCCTTCGCCTTTAGTCTGGACGGCCCGCCTTGCAGGCCTGGTTCGCTCAGGGCCACTGGCTTCGGCATCAAGCGGCCTCGCGGACGCCCCTCTTTGGGCTTCCATTGCTTCCCGAGATCCCAGGTTTGTGGGAAGATTACCAGAAGGAAGCTCTCTTAGGTCTGAATAGAGCCACACAATTCAAAAAACACAGGGCTAGGGCTGAGCATCTTTAGGTCTCAGGATTTCAGGGGGACACGCCCATCCTCCTATTAATTCCACGTGGCTTGAAAAGGCCTCGTCTTGGTTGGGATTTGCACACCGTCACCTACACACAGCTGCTCACCGATATTCTGCCACGCAGTCCACTAAGCCGCGATACCCAAGCGCCTCGTGCTGCACGGCGCTTTCGAGCGCCCTCACGCCAGTGACCTCTCGTATCACGTGTTTCACGCTTCTTACGTAGCCGGAGACGCCCGTGTCATCCTCCTGTTCCTTTGCGGCTATTTCTTTAGCTAACAGTAAGCTTTCCACGGCTGTGTGGAAGAGCTTGCCTTGTTGGAAGAGGTCTGCGCAACAAGCAAAACATGCTTACATATAGCGGTAAATCAGATTCAGGTATTTCAAGCATTACTTGTTCTAATTATCGATGTGTGAATTACCTCTCCTGAGAAATTATGGCATTCCGCCTTGCCATTTAACGACAGGTAATCACGCACATGTTGCTATTGAAAGGATGTGTCTGTGAATATATAGTTCTGCCTTCCCCAAAGAACTTTGTTAGACCCTTACAAGGTGCATCTCCTCCCAGTCTTTATGCCAATATTTCCACGTCATCTTTCAATGTTGGCTTCTGACTACCTGTGTGCCTGTACACAGCACTTTTTAATTTGCTGCTGTTTGTTCTTTTGTGCTGGAAATGGAGGAAGGCCTATTCTTCACCAATTTTATATTTTGCAATTTTCCTTGTATTCTATTACTTGGAATCAGTGGGCTACTGGTTATTAAGAAACAGTTTTCAAATACAGTATTAAAGGCCAAAGAACTAACTATGGTTAGTTGGTTACTCCTAACTACAAGAGTAAACTATAGGAGATTACTCCTTATAATCTAAGGAGTATAAACCACGTATAATTTGTTGCAAGATCATCGGAAATACAGCCATTGCAGGGCTTGTCGAGCTGAGAAAGGTGCAAAGAGAAAAGAAAGAGGGTGAGGGGGGATAATAAATTATCTGAAGAAAAGGGAACATCTTTTAATGGGCAGAGCAGTGAGTAATGGAACCAACTGTCCAGGGAGTCGGGAGGTTCTGTCACTGGAGGTATTCAAGCAGCGGCTGCACAGCCATCTGGCCGGAACTTTTAAATCAGGATTTCTGCATTGAGCAGGCGGCTGGGTTTGACCCCTCCATGGCCCCTTTTCTACTTTTTTTTTTTGTAGGAATGAGAACACTGGCCATGGCAACTTAGAAAAGAAGCAAAAGACAGAAAATTCATTGTTAAAAAGTGATAAAGAGGGAATTGGGCTGGGGAAAAGGAGGACAGGAAGTAGCATGGAAACAGAAAGCTAGGTGGTGAGATCAGCGGAGAAAAAGGAGCAAAGGATTCTGTGGAAGCAACAGCAGAAGAACGAAAAGCAGAACCTTGTCTAAGGACCGTTTGCTAAAGGCTGGGGAGGAAGAGCAGGAGAAGCCGCAGAGTGAGCCTGGAATGGGGAACAGGAGTGTGATCGGGATATAACAGAGAGATTATGCCGAATGAGCAGATCTGGAATAGGATGTGGCTGAAGTAGCAAGAGCTGGTGAGACTGAGATAACAGTGGAGAAAACAGTCAAATTGAAAAGCAAATTCAGAAGCAAGAGAGGGTTACTGCATGCAAAGAGTAAGCAACGAAGGCAGAAGGAAGAAGAGGAACAGTAAGTGCGGTTCTCAGCATCATGCAGGTTGGAAAGGGGATGACGGCTAGGAAAACAGAACGGGACATAAACTGGAGAATAACTGCACAATCCGATCCAGGCAGCAAAAAGTCCCAGCACTCTCCAGCTGGCATGTATAGGATCGTGTCCTGAATGTAACTGGATTACATCTGAAATCAAATTACTGAGAACGGATAAAAGGAATTTGCAAGAAGACTGTAAAATTGCAGAGAGAGTTTACGGGCGTAAATACTAATCCATCGGCGGCGTATGAATGCAACAGGGAGTAATACCGCTGCGCAATGGCAGTCACGAGGAAAGCAAGGCGAGTATGTGCAAGACGATCGCGGGGAGGCCTCGCAAAGCGGTGAGGGGGCGACGAGGCGGCCCGAGGCGCGGCGCGGCGCGGCGCGGCGGAGCAGCCAGCGGGGGCGGGCGGCGGGCGGCGGGCGGCTTACCCCTCGTGTAGGCGGC